CACGGAACGCCGCCGAACCAAGACGGCCACGATGGCTCAAGATGACTTCCAAAAAGCCTCCAAGACGGCCAGGTGGCCCAAGATAATTAGCCTCCAATACGGTCCCAAGACGCCTCCAAGACAGTCAAGATGGCCCATAGACTCGTGAGACCGAGGGCGGGAACTGGTGTTCGCGGTCGCCCTGGCCGTATGCCAGGAACCGCCCGCACGCAAACAAAACTGTGCCCCAGAAGCGTTGCCGATATTCGGCCGTTGCCTGGGCCTCTCACGGAGAAGGGGGTAGAGGAGGAGGAGGAGGAGGAGGAGGAGCGAGCGAGCAAACCTCGGGGAATCCACTAGCATCCTGCATCGACTACGCCACTATGCAATGCGCATCGTGATCGCATCGTGACATCGTCCTATGCAGCTGGATCCTCAGACGGGGCGTTGCACCCCAACGCGGAGGAAAAGACACTCTGCGTGCCCTGCCTGCGCTCCCCGCAGTGGCACAGGCCCGCGAGCACCCTCCCTGAGGCACGCGACAGTACAAGATGCGCCCACTCCGGCACGAGAGGAGCCTTGCCCCTCGGCGCCCACGACCCCCACGTCTTCCCTGTGAGCCTGGGCCGTGGCCTGGTGGGTGGACGAGCGGAAGAGCAGGCAAGCTCTCGTCAGCACAGCTACTGACAAGGAGTGGGGCACAGCTGGCAGCTGCTGCTGAACACCGGGCCCTCCGGTGGCGCTGCACGCGAGACGCGCTGGCCAGGGTGGTAGGCCCGGCATGACACTCACAAGACTGCACGGATCACAAACCGGAGGAAGAGGAAGGAGAGGGGAGGACGAAGCAGGCAGGCAGCAAGCAAGCAACGGGCGGACATCGGTCGTGCAGCATCTGCGGTCCGTTGTCGGTCGGCGGGGGACAGGGGGTCAGGAGAGAGGGGCGGCGGAGGCGGCGGGAGGGGCGGAGGGGGGCGGAGGGGGGCCGGGTGAGCAGCAGGGCCAGCCTGGCGCCGGGACGCCTGGGTGGCATCCGCCTCGCGGTCTGGCCATCAAGCCTGGACCTGCCTAGCGGCCTAGCGCCAGAGCCTGGCTGCGTTCGGCGAGGACCACCGATGCTGCTGGGAACGGTGGGGGCGACGTCCCCACGTCTCCTCCTCCCCCTCTTCCTCCTCCTCCTGGCCCGTCCTCCCTTTCCATGTTGCATTCGGCTCACATCCTGGGGGAGTGTGGCAAGCATCGTCTAAGACGTAGGGGGTCCGCTTCGGACGGCACGGTCACCGAATTGCTTCTGTCCTCCTCTTTTTAGCTCTCGCGTGGAGACCCACACGTCTTGCATCTTCCCCATCGGCAGTCCTTGCATCTCTGCGGAAGTTGGGTTGGGGGGGGGCTTGCAAGATGGCGCACCACGAGAACTCCAGCGGGTGGTGCTGTAGTAGTTGCGGCTTATTTCGCAATGAGCTTTTATAGGGAATCGAACTCTATACACCGACACTTTTTCCGGCCCTGCATTGAAATTTGCACTGGAGAGCGGATCCTGGTGTATACGGATCCTGGTGCATACATGTGTTGATGTTTCCCCAGGACTTGGGGAAAAAAGTATACACCACACCACCCCGACGTCGTCCCCGACCCTCAAGAAGTTCTGGGATTGAGAAAGAGCCCGCCGCTGGTAATGTATATGTTCCAGTTTCCGGTTTCACCAAAAACATGGGAGCGCGTCATTTGTCCCAGACCCCCGCGGGTCGTCGGGAATGCCTCCGACGCATCGGCAGACGTGTCTGGCCCAGGGCGACGACGAGCGCCCAGCAGGCGGCCAGGGCTGCAGGTGAACCCCAGAGCTCACCCTGTGATGGCGTCCGTGCCAACTCCATCCCTCCCTCTTCCCTCCTCCCTGCTCCCTCCTCCCCCCCTCCCATCCCTCCCCCTCTCCTCCCTGCTCCCTCCTCCCCCCCCAATCCCTCCCCCTCTCCTCCCTGCTCCCTCCTCCCCCCCCGTCCCATCCCCCCCCCCTCCCCCCTGCTCCAGGGAGCGCGCGGCGTCAGGGGCACGACGGGCACACCCGCCCCGCGAGCGCGCCGAGGTGGCCCGCCAGCTCCCGCCAGAGCGGCGCGGCGCCTTCAGGGCTGAACTTGAAGTCGACTGCTCGCGCCCACCCACCCACCCGCAACCAAAACCGACCGACTACAACGACACCGACGACAATGACTAGGACGACACCGACGACGTCTCCGACGACTTCGACGACGACAACGACGCCGCGCCGACGACGACGAAGACGACGACGACGACGCCAACGAAGGCGACGACGAGGGAGGAGGAAGGACGACGACGGCGACAACGACGACAACGACGACAACGGAGGGAGGAGGGAGGACGGCGACGACGCGAACGACGACGGAGGAAGGACGGCGACGCCGACGACGACAACGACGAGGGAGGAGGGAAGACGACGACGACAACGACGACGACGACGGCGACGAAATAGGAGGGACGACGACGAGACGCCGACGACGGACGACGACGACGACGTGGGAGGAGGAGGAAGGACGACCACGGCGACAACGACGACGGAAACGACCACGACGCCAAAGAGGACGACGACGACGAACACGAGAAAAGACAGAGGACGACGTAGGCGACGACGACGACGACGACGCGGGAGGAGGGAGGACGGCGACGACGACGACGACGACGCAAGAGCGCGCGCGCACGCTTCTGTTGAAAATCCGTGTTGCGAAACCTTGGGTTTTAGTAGGTTTTTGGGGCGCACGATTTTGAAATCCTTCCGAAACCGATGGGTCTTGATGGTTTTCGGCATACGCCCGCGTCGACGCGCGCGTCTGCACTTCGTCCCATTTTTTGCAGAGGGTTCTCGCGACGGCACACGCGCAAGGGCGTTCGACAGATTTCGACATGCGCGCGCGCGAAGCCCGTTTGGTAGCATTTTGTGAAAATCTTGACAAACCGTTGGTTTTCTTAAGATTACGCAAGAGCTCGCGCGGAAGCTTGTTTAGCAAATCAGTGTTGCGAAAACATGTGTTTTTGTATGTTTTTTAGAAACTCGATTGCGAAATCCTTCCAGCACCGAAGGTTTTTGAAGGATTTCGGCATGCGCGCGCGACGACGCGCGCGTGTGCACTTCGTCTCATTTGTTTGCAAGGGATTCGAAAAAGTGCTATGTTAGAACAACAAATGTCACCGCATAGTGTCTTTTTTTACAAAGGGAACCTCAGGGGGGGGAGCCCGGCCTAGCTGGGATGATCTGATTTCATATTTAGGATGGACGAGTGTGCAATATATATATATATATATATATGTGAAATTATACTATCCCAAGGGGAAGCGATAAGTCCGGGGGGGTAGAGTCTGTTTTCTTTTTAGAAAGGAGAATAAACCTACCTCGCTTTTGACCACCCTCGCTTCCAAGAGATACCAAACGATGCCAACTTGCAGCCTGTACTGGTCAGGCCGCTTGACGAGGAGGCGCGTGGTATGGCTTGGTTTTGCCTGGAAGCGAAAGCGGGGTAGGTAATTCACGCTCTGGCTCTAGCGCTATGCGTGGTGCCCTCCCGCGCAGTAGGCGTTCGCTGCTCATGGATGGTTGGCTGAACGAGCTGCGGCTGTTTTCTGAACAGGGGCGGTCAGCGGTTGCTGGGTGGTGTTCTGTCGCCCGCGACAACCCCAGACGATTCCGCGCGGCCCCCGGAAAAGCGAGAGAGGAGAAAACGGTCAATTCTGTGCAAGCGCCTGGGCGGACCCGCCAAATGGCCGAAGTGGACGCCGAGCATCCATGCCCGACTAGTGTGTACACGTGCAGCACGCGTCAATAATTGGCGTCCCGTACTTTCACTGCGCATGGCGCGTGCAAGAAAATGCGTATCTTCATTGACATGGACGTGCATTCAGGTGGTTCGGAACGCGCACACGTGCGATTGTGCACTTGGAAAAACAAAATTACCACGGTGTCGGCGCGTCGTGCTGGGGCGTTTCCAGCAGCTCCCCGAGGATAGCGTAGCCGTTCATGACGAACGTGGCGCCGAAGAAGCAAGAGCGCTCGGCCGACTCGGGCGGAGGCGATACCATGCCGACGCCCAGGCCACGCGCCTGGCAAAATCGCTGATGAAGGATGCGTCCGAAGCCGGTCTTGACCACAAACACATATGTTCCACCCGTTTCTCCAAGATACCGGGTTGAGCAACCAGTGCCCCTCTTAGGGAGGTCTTGCACAATGCCCACTTGACTTCACGGCACGTGCATGTAATTCATACATGCATGTGCGTGAAACTATAATTGTTCGCTTCAAGCTGCTTCAAGCAAAACGGAGAGCAGGAGGAGGAGGAGAAGGAGGAGGAGGAGGCTGATGGAGCTGATGGGGATAGGAGTAGGGGGCGGGGGGAGAGGGCGGGTGATGATTGAGATGATGAGCCTGGTGATGATAAGGCTGCTGATGCTGCTGATGATGAGGATGTGGGCGGTGATGATGATTATGATTATGATTATGATTATGATTATGATGATGATGATGATGATGATGATGATGATGATGATGATCATGATCATGATCATGATCATGATCATGATGATGATGATGATCATGATGATGATGCTGATGATGGTGATGATGATCATGCTGAAGGTGATGAGCATAAGGGTGGTGATCGGCTGTGGCTTGGCGATACTACGATCATATCTTACGCCTCCAGAGAGGGCACTGCAGCAGAGACCTCTAGGTGCTCGCTACAAGGATTGGTCGCTCCAACTGAGCGGACGAGGAACGTGTGGTGCAGTTTGAAAGCGAAGGCGAGCAGCCAGGGGGCGCAGTACTCGTTCTCCTCGCCCATGCCGAGACTGGCAACTACGTATTCAAGAGAAAAGGAGCGAGGTAAACCGACGAGGTGGAGCAGGCGAGGGCAGGAGAGGTAATGGGAAATCGAATCAAGTTCGCCCTCGCACCCAAAAGCGCACCCTCGCTGGCCCAGGATGCGCGCTCGTTGGGTGGTGGTCCACCCGCCCGCGAGTTCTCACGTGGTGCGGGGCTTCGCGAACACCTGCTTCGGGACCTGCCGGCGGGGTGCCAGAGGGGGGGCCTGCAGATCGGGATACCAGGCTTGCGCGCTTCTGCAGCATAAGGTGCATTTTGTCTGGGTACAGCTCACGGATGAGGGCACCGAGTGCACACCCCTTGGATTGGAAGCGCCGCCGCTTTTGAAGCTCCTCGGCAAGGGAGGCATCTTAAGAGACCTCAGCGGCATCTTGAGAGACCTCAACATAGATGGTCGATGCTGTCGCGCGCCACCTCGTCGCAGCAGCGCATGCCGCGATGGTCGTGTGCATGGGCCCAGGCGCCCAGGTACGCAGAGACCAGAGGCCAGGGCCAGAGAGCGAGCTGAGCGGGAGCTTCGAAAGCTCGGGCAGGCGCCGCGGCTCCCTCGTAAGGAGCACATTCGGGGCATGAGAGAACTGGGGCACGTAGCCCCAAGGTGGGGAGAATCGCGAATCCGCACAGACGGGGGGGATAGCAGGGAGAAACGTCGGAGGACGAGGTCTCGCGGCTTCTCTCCCGCCACGCCTGCATGCAGGCGGCTCACAGTTGGTACTGCGTGGCCTCGGTTCCGCTGTGCGCTCCGCGGCATTTGGCCTGCCCAGCGACAGCGACAGACTGCCGCGTGGGCACCTGCCATCGCTCGGACTTCCATTCCCTGTGTTTTCTTGTCGGTTTCGTGCATGGTTTCTTCGCCAAGTGAGCAAGGATGCTCCTCGATGGTCCTCGACGAAGGAAAAAATGCACACGTCCGAGCGATGCCAAGGGCAGGGCGGAGCGAAGCACTGCGCGCACGTCTGCTGCACACAGCCTCCGTCTCCTCGGCCCCGAGCGGCGGGACAGATGCGTGCACTTGAAGAGGGCGGCGGCGGGGCGCGGCGAGGCTCGAGGCCGCGGGGAAAAAGCAGGGGCGAGGCCCGCGAGAGGCGCGCAGATTCTGCCGAGCATTGCGCGCCGGCGTCGTCGGCACGTCCTCCTCCTCCTCCTCCTCCTCCTCCTCCTCCTCCCCCTCCCCCTCCTCCTCCTCCTCCTCCTCCTCCTCCTCCTCCCCCTCCTCCTCCCCTCCTCCCTCTCCTCTCCCTCCTCCTCCTCCTCCTCCTCCTCCTCCTCCTCCTCCTCCTCCCCCTCCTCCTCCTCCTCCTCCACCTCCTCCTCCTCCTCCTTAACGCAAGCGTAGGGCAGAGGGGGGGAAGCGCCAGCCCCAGAGCACGGATGATGGGATCCATTCCGAACGCGCAAAGGCTGCCACTGAGGGGCAGCCTTGCATCGCTCCCGACTTGATCAACAACGGCGGGACTATCTGATCATGAACCCTGGTCGGTGCGAGCACGGAAGCGCAAGAGGCAACGGGTCGCCGCTAGGAATCCAGGCGAGATGCCCATGCGTCCGAGCACAGCGAAGGGCCACGTTCTGCTCATGCTTGGGGCTGCGAGTTTGATATCGAAAGCTACGAAGAATGGCATTCGGCAGGAATCATCTCCTGCTATACCAGTTGCACAGGCATCTCGGCGTCGCGGAGGCACTCGATCGCATCGCCGATTTCGTCACCCCTCGTTGGGGAAACAACAAGGAAGTGGCTGGACGAGGGAGGGGCCCAAAAACCACTGAAGAGGCGAAGGAGGGCGGGGTACAGACTCTCAGTAATGAGAAGGACCGCTCGTCACACTTCTTTTTACTTACGAGAGAAAAAGTATTCGCAGAAGCAGCAGGACAACGTCGCCAACGACGCCAACGAGCCGACGGCGACGACGAAGACGCCAGCAAAGACGGCGGCAACGAGTCGACGACAAAGTCGACGTCGACGACGACGAAAACGACGACGACGCCGACGACTTCCACGACGACGACAACAATGACTACGACAATGACGACGACCACGACGACGACAATGACGACGACGACGACGACATCCGCGACCATGACGACGAAGTCCACGACCACGACGGCGGCGGCGCAACGACGACAGCGGCGGCGGCGGCGGCAGCGCAGCGGAGGCGACCCCGGGAAAACCTCCGCCGGGGCAACGGCGCGCAGCCGGCCCCGCACCCGGCCGCCGCCGCTCGCCGGCTCTGGCCAGCCTTACCGGAGGCGCTGGAGATGTCGTCATCGTCGTCGTCGTCCTCGTCCTCGTCGTCGTCGTCGTCGCCGTCGCCCTCGTTGTCTCGGTGATCGTCCTCGTCCTCGTCCTCGTCGTCGTTGTCGTCGTGGTGATCGTCGCCGTCACAGCCGCTGCCGTCAACGTCGACCTCGGCATCCGCGTACGTCGCCGTCGTCGTCGCCCCGCCCGTCGTCGCTGCCGTCTGTGAACATTGCCCTCGACCCTCGAAGGTCGAGGAGGGAAAGCTTGGGACGCCCGCGTGCGATCTCGTTGGCCCTGCTTGGGCCTGCGCAGGCCGCTTGGCTCAGGGGACCTCCAAGGGGCTCAGGATCCCCGGCAGAAGAGACACTCGGCAACTACCTCGGCGCTTACGTCAGCACCGCAGTCAGCCCCGACGTCGTGGTCGCCGTCAGCCCCCGCCGGTTCTGGAGGTCGTGGTCGACGCCGGCGCTGGCGTCGTCGCCGGCGCGGCCAAGCTGTCGTGGGCTCGTTCGTCGTCGTAGACGACGTCCTCCTGTTGGTGTTTCTTTTCTGCTACTGCTGTTCCTCCTCCTCCTCCTCCACCTCATCCGTCACCTTCGCCTTCTCATGCTGCTTGGGGCAAAAGAAACGCGCCCGACATGTTCCATCTGGTGGCCGAGGGAGAGAACGAGCAGTGCGCACCTCAGACACTGGTGCTGTGACGTCCTCTTGGGCGGCTTCCAGGGCCGAATCGGCAAGCTGGAGGGCCGCGGGCGTAGCCGACGAGGAACAACGGACAGAGAGGGCACCCTCGATTTCGCGAAGCGGAAAGAAAACATCGGCCTGCCGAGCATGAAAAGAAGACGGACCACGCACCCTCCTGCTCAAGCTCCTTAGCTGCGCGAAAGACGAGGGGGTCTTCGCAAGAAGGTTGCAAACACGGCGCCGCCACTCGCCAAGGGTCGGGAAGTGGTGCGGATCATGCTGGGTCAGAATCAAAGCAGGGCCAAGCTTCGGGGCCTTCGGACCAGGCGCGAGAGGGAATTGGGCCGAAAGCTCCTGGGCAACGACCACAACCGACTGGGCGAACCTGGGCAGAAGATCAAGCGTCACGCTGAGCGACTGGAGCGCGCCCTCCAGCTATGTCTCGAGCGCAGCTGCAGCACTGTGCGACTCAGCGCAAATGCGGGCGATGAAATCAGCCAAGCAATTGCCGAGATTGTTATTCGTGACGAAAGAAGACCAATTTGAGACCACGACAAGACAAGAAAGCCGTGCATCCGTGAAGGACGCGTGGGCAGAAAGTGCAAGTAAAAAGTTGCCCGGGGCGCAGCTGGCGCATCTTGGAGCAGGGGGGGGAGGGGAGGAGAAAAGGTGCGCACGAAGAACTTCAGATGCTCACAGGATCAAGCTTGCGCACAGATTGTGCCCATTGCTGCCTTGGTCTCCATTTGCGCAGGCGGAGAGCCCAATCCTTGGGCGTGCCACCAACGTCGCACACCGCCCGCTTCACCAAGGAGTCGTTTGTTCGCAAAGCACCGGTTCTCTCTCTCTCTCTCTATCTCTCTCTCTCTCTCTCTATATATATTCATATGTAGATATATACATATATGTATATATGTTGCCTTGGCCATCACAAAATGTTGCAGAAAGTGCGTAGGATCTGGCACGAGTCTGCATGGTAACATTCGAAACTCTTGCATCGTAGCAACGAGGTTCGCCCCGTATTTTTCGCACGCACCTTCAATGAAAACCGTACAACCTTGATCGACCAGTCTTTAGCAGCCAGAAAGAGTCGAAGGAGTAGAAGACCTCTCTCAATACGCAGCTGGTGTAGGTTTGCAACTTCCCCATTTTGCTGATTGCAGCGCGCTTCCAAACCTTGTACAACTGATTGGATAAACCTTGCCCTTCGCCCAGTCCCTGGTTCGATTCCTTTCCCACTCACCCATTGTGTGTGATCAAGCCTCCCAAATCGACTGCTTCTAAACTCTTGTGATGGGCTCTCCAAACGGCCTCGTCAACACGCTGTCTGGCGGCACGGACATGACAGTCTTCTTCCAGTTCAACTCCAGACCATATTTGCGTCCTCCCAGAACGATGGCATCAAGTAGAGCTTGACAATTGTCTCCATCCATGCCTTGAAAGGGACAGCGCATCATCTGCGTAAAACACGTCTCGCGTAACCACATGTGTTGTCTCACCTTGTAGGTGAAAATCGTAAACCATGACACTTTGAATCATGAAACAGTTGTATGCAGGTTAAACAAAAACATCCTTAGCTATACCAGCAGCCAGTCGTTTTTTTCCGTCGAGCAGCCGCACTGATCCACTATGGTGACAGATTCCCAAACCTGCGATGAGCGAGGGCCCACTGGAACGTGGGTCTCGGGCCCCTGGGTCCAAATCTCCGCAACAAATCTCAGACTCGCCACATTCCTCGCATTTCTGGCGGCCAGGCCTGTCCGTCGCGAACCCCAATCGAGTGGTCTGAGACCATTACACGCACACTCACTGGGCAAGCCCACAGCGCCTGGAAAACCGGATGCAGCTCGGCCTTGGGAACCGCTTCTGGCCCGCCCAGGCAACCCACCAAACTGGGTTCAAACCAGGGCCCCACGTAGGCCAATCTCGACGACAGACCATCCGCACCTCTTGAGATCAGGGCTGCCGCTGCACAGCCCTGACCCATCGATGTGGACTCTCTTTCCCCAGGGCGCACAGGTCTCACCCCAAACAAGAAAAGGATGCTTGTCATGGAAAGAGGGAAGCCACCCGAACGCCTTCGACGACATCCCCTCCACCCCTGAGCTCAGACCTGTGGGATGTAACATCGCCTGGGAGCGGTATCGTCAACATCAGCAGCATCACCGCCACAAACATCGTCATCGTCGTCGCACGCCGCCGAAGAGGAGGAGGAGGAGGAGAAAGAGGAGGAGGAGAAGGAGGAGGAGGAGGAGGAGGAGGAGGAGGAGGAGGAGGAGGAGGAGGAGGAGGAGGAGGAGGAGGAGGAGGAGGAGGAGGAGGAGGGGGGGGGAGGGGGAGGGGCGGGAGGCGGGAGGAGGAGGAGGAGGACGGGGGAGGAGGAGGAGGAGGAGGAGGGAGGAGGAGGAGAAGCAGGAGGAGGAGCAGGAGGAGGAAAGGGCCTGGCAGCTGGCGTCGCGCCGCGGGGCCCGGGGTGCCCGGCGCCCACAGGCGGCCGGCAGCATGCCGGCGGGGTCGCCGGCCGCCATGGCGGCCACGGCCGCCAGCTGCCCGCCGCGCAGCACGGCGGACTTCGGGGAGCAGGCGAGCTCCTCGAGCGGGACGCGCACCTCTTGGGGTGGGAGGCTCGCGTGGCCGCGGATCGATCAACCACATCGGCGGACGTCAGGGGATGAGGGGTGGGCTGCCTCAACGGGGTGGCAGCAACGACGTGGGATCGGCGGGGTGGGGCACCGAGAGCCCCGATTGGCGATGAATGAATGAACGGGGCTGGAAGTTTGCTCCCTCGAGCCGGTCCCCCCCTTGTCGCCAGCCCTAACGGCTACGGCAGCCCCCATGGGCGTGTGCACCGGCGGATCAGCTCTGCAGATCTGCGCGGCACCACGCTCTCTCTCTCTCTCTCTCGCTCTCTCTGGCGGACACTCGGAAGCGTCCCTGCTCCAGCTGCTCTCAGATGAGCGACGCAACGGGTCTTAAGCAAGAAGACATACGTATATTGACCTTTCGCCGCGGCGGACGCGGGCTACCAGCGTGGCAGACCGTGTGGAGAAGAGGGCGCTTGCGCACGACCTTACGCGGGAACTTACGAGCGAATGCCCGCGCACTCTACCCCGTTTTCTTCTGTCGCTCAATTTGGGCTGATTCCTGCGCAAGACCTGCGGAGCTCAGGGGTTGAGGTTCCTGGGCGCCTTGGCCCATCCAGGGCCTCCCTTCGTCGCCACAAGCCGGGTCCGTCTCGAGATCCTCAAAAGAGCGCACCCCTTGGACAGGTACGGGGGGGGGGGGGGGGGGGGGGGGCGTTTTTGTTGCCTCTCTGGAGCCCTGCAATGGCTCGCTACGGCCTCCTCACGTTCCCGGGGCGGGAGGGGGAGAGGAAGTGAAGGAGGGGAAGGGGGAGGGACGAGGGGGAGGGGGGGGAGGAGAAGGAGGAGGAGGAGGAGGAGGAGAAGAAGGAGGAGAAGGAGGGGCGCCAGTACCATGATATGTTCGACATCTCACGAGCACGGATGCGAAGAAATGAAAAGAAAGATAGATCCGTCGCTTCCCTGAGCTAGCGAAGCTGCACACGTATGGTGATCATGCCTGGAGAGAGGTGGTGTGCAGTAATCCAGAGGAGTAAGAATGCAAACCTCTTGAGCATCCATGTGGAATCGATTGAGCCCCGGCTTCAGGCCAGAGCACGGGGCCGAACAGACACGGATTACACGGGCAGCCTTCATGACGCACTGCGCACTGGCCAGGCCTCATCACAGACCATCACAGGATATGGGCGAGGCAGAACATGAGAAGAGCAGGATGGCCCTCAATGGATGTCGACGGCAGCCTCGTTCGACGTCCGATCATGAGAAAACACTTCGGCCGCAGTCGACGTAAGATCGGTAACCATCCAATACCCCCCTCAGCATCGAGAAAGACGATCATGGAACACAGCCAGGCCTGAGGGGAGAAGGGGAGGACGAGACCAACACGGAGGGGGAAGGAAAGTCTCTACATCCAAACGATCCTGCACCTGCAACATCCGCATGCTTCGGCGCTGCCCCTGTCAGCTCACGCGCGCGCTGTTCACACCGCGAGCCAAGGGGAACAGAGACCGCGAGGCAGATCCGCCGCAGGCCCCAGTTGAGAGGGGTGAAGGCCGATGCTGCACCCCGCGAAGCTGCGCCGCCCAGGCCAGAGCAAAAGAGAAGGGCAAGGGCAGAGGAGGAGGAGGAGGAGAAGGAGGAGGAGGAGAAGGGAAGAAGGAGGGACGGAGGAGGACGAGCTAGGGGAAGGCAAAGTGCGTAAGCATAAACATTCGGAGCTCCACGCGGAGTTCTTGGGTCGGCGCTGGGACCCCCTGGCGGCGCCTCTTGCCGCTCCGGCCGCCCCCGATCCCCCCCCCCGCGCACCTCGACGCAGGGCGCCCGCGAGAGCTGGCGGGACTCCTGCGAGGACGCCCGGGCACTCCTCCCTCCGTGCCCCCCCTCCTCAACGTGTGACCCAAGCCTCCGACGACCCGACTGTTTCAGCCGACTCTCTCTGTTTCCTTGACTTCGGCCCCCTGGAGTGGACAGAGCCCCCGATGGCGAAAGGCCCTGTAGTGGAATCTGCCAGGGGCACTCCACGTGCGCACGGCACCGCATTCCAAGTGCCCCCGAGCGGGGTGGCCAATCGACGTCCAAAGCAACCGAATGTATCCGCCGAGACGCACGTCGACTAGCGAGACCGACTGGGGGCAGCACTGGTACACTCGAATGCCAGTGTCGAGTGAGCCTGTGCAGATTTCCTCAGTCAACTTGTCTGGGGGCGCGTTCTGTTATGTAATGAAGCAGGCCCTCTGGCATGTCATCGGGCCCCGAGGCCATCCAAGACGGATCTGGGGATAAAAACTGGCACTGGGGAAAGGGTCTGGAGCGGATTGAAGAAACACATGGACGGATGCCTGGGTGCCCCCCACCCCCACCCCTAAGACGAAGCCAGGACGGGGCAACATCGGGCCTGGGGAAACAAAAAGGTACTCCCCAGACCTCTCCTGGGGTGCGTTCTGACTAGACGTTCGAGGCGAATCCAGCGGTGGCGACGAAGGCCTTCCAGGAGGCCCAACAAGGCAAAAACGAGGGAAGGGCAGCAATATAGGCCAACTTTTCCTCGTCTGAGGGCCGGCAATATAGGGCAACTGTTCCTCCTCTGAGGGCCGTTACAACTCGAGGAGAATCTGTTCAGGCTGCTGTCCCCCACCGCCACTGGTCTGCTCACTATTTTGGTGGAGAGGAGCTGTTGAGCTCAAAAAAAAGAGGAGAATCTGTCAGGGGCGCCGCGGCGGTCGCTCCAGAGCGCTCCAGGAAGCCCCGAGGGCGTTCCTGAACGCTCTGCTGGCCGGGGGGCCGCTTCTGGGGGCGGCGCTGGCCCCTGGCGGCCCCGGGGCGTCGTGGCAGAAATCACGGCGGGGGACTCGCCTCGCCTCGCCTCGGGGCAGGTGCCCAACGAGCTCAGCAGTGGTGCCAAACCCCATGCGCCAGGCGAGCCCAGAATCACCTGAGGGCCGCCCTGCACTGGGCGAGCCGACACGCGAGGCCCTAGCCAAGGCAGATGAGCTGAAACGGGCCACGGCAACGCGGCAACGCTGTCCTGCGCGTGCAGACGAGACGCGGACACCAGATCCTGTGCCCAAGCGCCGCGAGTCGCAAGGTCACCTCGCACGTCCAAGAGGGCTCAAGGGAAAAAGGAAGAGGAGGAGGAGGAGGAGGAGGAGGGTGGAGGAGGAGGAGAAGAAAGGAGACAAGGAGATGAGGAGAGGAGGAAGAGCACACACACACACACACACACACATATATATATATATATATATATATATATCGAATATGGCGCACATCGAAGCTCCATGAATTACCACGCAGACCTATACGCCCTCCAACATCGATCGGCCTGGCGGCAGCACGAAAACATATGATATGAAATTCGGGAAGGGGTAGCAAGCAGAGGGCTGACCAGGCCCGCAAAGCAACTTATGCGAGAGGCCCAGATGAGCTAGGAAAACAGACGAGGCGAGCCCCCCGCCTCGCTTCGGGTGATTGTGGCCTCACGGATCCATATATGATCCACGGCTCAGCCCCGCCCTCCAATGCTAATGGGATGGGTACGCCCGTGAGCCTCGCGAAGGCCTCGCGAATGGTATCCCCTCTCCCAATTGTCGTCGTGACCCTGTGAGCGTGGCGTGATGGAGAGCCCTCGTCGTCCTCGTCGTCGTCGTCGTCTCCGTCGTCTTCGTCGTCTTCGTCGTCTCCAGCGTCGTCGTCGACGTCGTCTTCTGTCGGCGTCGGCGTCGGCGTCGTCGTCCCCCATCCCATCTGGCGGGGGTGGGTGGGCGCCAGTGAACTCCCGACCCGGGATCACACATCTCGGGCAATCTCTTGTACTGATTGGTCGCGAGCTCCGGTCTGGATTTCTCCCACGACGCTGTGATGTTTCCTCCCTGTTCCCTCCTCCTTCCCTTCCACCCCCCCCCCCTCCCCCCTCCTCACTCCGCCCCTCGCTCCTCTCTCCCTCTGCCCCGCCTCCCCCCTCCATCCTTCCTCGCCTCGGTCCCGTCCCTCCCTCCCCCCCCCTCCATCCCCCCCACCCACAGTCCCTTCCCCCCTCCCACTTCCCTCTCTCCTCGCCCATCCTCCTCTTTCCCTCCCTCCTCCCCCCTGTTCCTTCCCTCATCCCTCCATGTCATCCCTCACTCCACACGCCCTCCATCCATCCTTCCATCCTTCGAGCCCCAGGCCCTAAGGCACGACGTCCTTGACAAGGCCAGAGGGCCGTGGGTGGCACCTGCCTTGGCCCTGGTGGAGGGGGAGGGGAAACAAAAGCAGGAGGAAGAGGGGAAGTGAGGGGAACGGGATGAGTAGGCAGAGGACGCCGACAAAGTCGAGGGAAAGGGGGGATGAGGAAGACGACAAATGTAAACCCAAGAGTCATCAACGATATTGGAATAAACCCTCCCCAAAAATCCCTCTTCATAGGCACCTACAAGGATTCATTACCACTGAGGGAACGTCCTCGTTGGAAGACAAAAGTTTGAGGACCCTGAAGCATGCCAAACCATGCTCCTCGAGGCTTTAACGCCACGGATCAACCTGACTGTTGCGTCTTGACGATCCTGAGTCGTGCCAGAACGCCATTCCTGGGACTTCAACACCGCAAACCTATGTAACCTTTGCACCCTCACAATCCGCAACCTTTCCAAATCGCAAGTTCTGGTACGTTGACCATGGGAGTCCGTGAAACTCTTGCAACTGTTGAAAAAGAATGTGCGCGGCGCTAAGGCGAGAGCCACAGTGTGAAGAGGGACCGCCCTCAATCTGTGAAACTCTTGCAAAATATTAAAACGAATGTGCGCGGCGCCAATGCGAGAGCCATATTTTGAAAAAGAACCGCCCTCAATCCGTGAAGCTCTGGCAAATTGTTAATACGAACGTGCGCGGTGCTAAGGCGAGAGCCACATTCTGAAAACCACCCGCCTTCAATATGTGAAACTGTTGCCGATGTTTAGGCTTCAGGGTCGTAAATGGTGAGGAAGTCTCAGGCGGAATGCCCGACCCGCCCTACAGACGAGTCTGGTGTGCGAGGGGGAGCAGCTAAGGGATTGAGGAGAAGGATGAGATGGAGGAAAAGGATGGGGCGGAGGTGGAGAAGAAGGATGTGGAGGAGGCGCAGCAGCAAGAGAAAGAGAAGTAGAAGGATGGAAGGGACCAGAGTGGACCCAAGATGCGTGAACGATAAGCCCGCTGCACCAGCGACGCATTGAAAAACTTTGAGAAACAAAGCAAGTGCTCGGTATACATTCTGGGCAATCATGCCGATGTCGTCAGCACAGGCTCCCAAAACAGATGGCGAGCGGGAAAGACGGGATTCCAACATTCTGAGAACGGGGTCCACACAGAGCACAAATTCGCCGGCCCAACGGGCCAGAGGCGTGCTAAGATCTCCGACAATTAACTAATTCAGAAGTTTTCTGGTTCGCGCGCGCTGGGCCGCCCCGAGGGGTCCCCGGATCAAAAGCACCCCCGCTGACCCCCAACGAACCTTTACACGGAGATGGTTTTCCGGGTGCGGCCTCCCTGGCCCAGAGCGCGCCAAGATGGCCCCAAGAGGCCCCCGAGACGTTCCAAGAGGGCACCGAGTCACCGGAAGACCAGTCCAAGACCCCAAGATAACCTCCAGACGGCCCAAGAAGCCTGCAAGACGCTCCAAGCATCCTCCAAGAGACCTCCCCAAAGGGCCCCCAGAGGCACAAAATAGTGATTTCCCACTCGTTTTTGAAAGGTTTTGGCGTTCTCGTCTTTTCGACTTACTGGCGCTCCAAGCCGGCCCAAGAGGCCCCCAAGATCGCCCCAACACGGCCCAAGAGGCCTCCAAGAGCGCCCACACGGCCCCAGACCACCCCAAGACGATCCCAGAGTCCTCCAAGATGGCCCAAGAAGCCCCCGAGACGGCTCCAAAAGCAGGCCCACGCGGGGAACCCGAACGGACATTTCGAGCTGTAAGCCACGAGAGATCCGGAGGAGACCCCACGAGGCCCCCAAGATGCCCCTGAGAGGCCCCAAGAGACCTCCACGAGGCCCTCAAGAGGCCCCTGAGAGGCCACCCAAAGCCCCAGAAGGTCGCAGAATATCGCCAAGAGGCCCCCGAGAGGCCTCCCAAGAGACCCCAGGAAGCCTATAATGCTGATATATGCGGTAGGCGTCCTTTGGCCTTGCCGCATGCTCCCCGGGCTTTGCCCCAGGCGCGCTGGGTCAACCTGCTCAGAGGCCGCCGTGGCAGTGCCTGAGCCTCAGCCCGAAGACCACCCACCCACCCCGGAGGAAGAGGGGGCGCCAACCAGGCCGCCGCCACCGCCGCCCGAGCGGAGGGGAGGGGAGGGAAGGGAGGGGGCCACCCTCCGCCGATGCCACCACGTTGGCCGCGGACGCCGGCACCGCGCCGTCAGCCTGGGGGTCAACGACGCTCTATCTGGGTGGGGGGCCAGGGCCCCCCATGCACAAAGGACACCATCGGGACACCGTCGTGACGGGACACCAAATCGACGCCCCCAGGACCCCGCACCCCGCCGGCCAGGAGGCCACGAGGGGAGGGTGAGGAAGAATACGCCACTTCCGCGGAAACCGCGTCACCACCAGGTGCCGCCTGCGCGGCTTCCGCGGTCTCTTCCACCAGCCTCCGCCGAAGGGACCCGCCGTCCCCCGCCGGCCCAACTTCCAAAGAGGCGTCTGGTCCACGATCAGGATGGGGGCGCGCAGTATGGGCCGGCGGAATGAGCGAAGCGATGAAACAAAGAGGCTGATAAGGGGCACCCTGGTTTGGTACTGTGTGTAAGTCTTCTCTCGAGCGCGCTTTTTTCATACCTACCCCTGCCTCTGAGCCCTCGCAACCCCTCCTACAGCCCCCTCCGCGCCCCGCTCGTTCCGCTGGCCCGGGGGCCCGGGCTGCGGCTGGGGCGCCTTCTGGCCGGCAGGTCCGTCCCAAGGCGACCCCCCTTTCACGTGCTGGCCTTCCAGGCGCCGCCGGGCGCTCTCAGAGACCGCTCGAGGAGCCCAGCCCGCTGGGCCGGCTTTTCGGGCCTCCTGAGGCCCTCCTGGGCTCATGTTCGCCCTCCTTCAGGCCACTTTGAGCCGTCTCAAATGCCTGTCACCCTCTTTTCGAGCAGCATACACCAGATCACCCCAACAAGCAAAAATCATTGTAAAATACGTAAGATTTGGGTGATTCAGGCCTTTTCGCACTGCACTTCTCCTTGCGCCTCTCTCGGAGCTCCCGAGCATCTCCGTTGGCTCTTGCGGCCATCTTAGAGCCTGGGCATGCTCTCTACGACCGTCCTGACAGCCTCTCGGACCCATCTTGGGCCGTCTGGCTGCCTTCTTGGCACCGTATTTCGCCCATCTGTGGCGCCCCCTCAGAGCCTCCAAGGGCTTTTCCAGGCGCCGCAAACAAACCCGGACTGTTGTTTTGCCCTTCCTGTTTTCATCGTTCACCCCAATGCACCGCACTTGACCCATTCCGGCTCCTTCCTGGGCCCCTCCAGAGGCCCCTCTGGGACGAATCCGACAGTTTTTTGTTTAGCTTCCCCAGCCTCTCTGCAGCCGTCCTAGCCTCAGGGTCATGTAAAAGACACTCCTCGGCGCGCTTTCTGGGAATGGGAAGAACCCGACGGTTGTTTCAGCTCCTCCAGCCTCTCTGCGGCCGCCCTGGCCTCACGGTCACACCACACAGAGCTCGCTGCTTTCTGTTCCTCCAGCCTCTCTGCGGCCGTCCTGGGCTCAGAGCCAGACGACAGAGAGCTCGCTGAGGAGCCCAATGTCCTCTCCATAGAGCCCCACGAGGCCTCCAAGCAGAAGCACCAGCACCAGCACCAGAACATCTCCTATCGCGCGCGGCCGCCGTTCCCACAGGGGCGGAGGTTTCTGTCCCCTCTGGGGCGTTCAGTTAAATATGGAGGCTGATAAGGGGCACCCTGGTTTAATCCCACGATGAACCCACCTCCCAGGATCTTGAGGCCCACAGAATGATACAGACACCCAAACATTGGAGTAACAGGCAACTACAGCGCGGCGAATCTTGGTGGGGAACTCCATGTCTTTCAGCACAGGAAGGATCATCCAGTGCAGAAGCGAAGGATGATGAGGTGGAGGATAAGGAGGAAGATGAAGGAGAAGGGAGAAGGAGGCGAAGAGAGGAGGAAAAGGAGGATGAGGAGAGGAAGGCGAGGGAGGAGGAGGAGGAGGAGGCGGAGGAGGAGAAGAGGGAGGAGGAGGATGAGGAGGACCAGTGCAAACCCAAGAGTTATCAACGATGTTGGAATAAACCCTCCCTCCAAGCTCCCTCTTCATAGGACCCTACAACGGTTCACTTTCATTGAAAGAACTGCTACTTTGGAAGACAACCGTTTGAAGACGCTGAAGCATGCCAAACATTGTTCTCGGGATTCCAACGCCACGGATCAACCTGACGGTTGCGTCTTGACAATCAAGAATCGCGCCAGAACGCCAGTCCTGGGACTTCAACACAGCGAATCAACATGACATGACGATTGCACCCGCAATGTCCTGCATCCTTTCGAAACACCATTTCTGACACGTTGATGATGGGAATCCGTGAAAATCTTGTGAACTGTCACAAGGACTGTTCGCCGCGCTAAGGCGAAAGCCACATTGTGAAAAGGAACCACCCTAAATATGTGAAGCTCCTGCGAATGGTTAAAGCGAATGTGCGCCGCGCTAGAGCGAGAGCCACAGTTTGAAAACCACCCGCCCTCAATTCGCGAAACTCGTGCACTTGTTTTAAAACGAGTGTGCGCCGCGCTAAGACGAGAGCCACATGTTGCAAACCACCCGCCCTCAATCTGTGAAGCTCTTGCAATTAACAAAAAACGAGTGCGCGCCGCGCTAAGGCGAGAACCACATGTTGAAAACGGCCCGCCCTCAATCCGTGGAACTCTTGCACATGTTTAAATCGAATGTGCGCCGCGCTAAAGCGAGAGCCACATCTTGAAAACCACCCACCCTCAATATGTGAAGCTCTTGCAAATGTTCAAAACGAATGTGCGCCGCGCTAAGGCGAGAGCCACATGTTGAAAACCACCCACCCTCAATCCGTGAAGCTCTTGCAAATGTTCAAAACGAATGTGCGCCGCGCTAAGGCGAGAGCCACATGCTGAAACCGACCCGCCCTCTATCTGGGCAGCTGTTGCCAATTTTTTAGCTTCAGAGTCATAAGTGGTGAGGAAGTCTCAGGCGAAACGCCCAGCCTGCCCTAAAAACTGGCCTCGGGGTGCGACAGGGAGAAATTAACTATTCATCAGGAGTTGGAATGGAGGAGGAGGAGGAGGAGGAGGAGGAGGAGGAGGAGGAGGAGGAGGAGGAGGAGGAGAGGGAGGAGAGGGAGGAAAGGGAGGAAAGGGAGGAGGAATGGAGGAGGAGGAGGAGGGAGGAGGAGGAGGAGGAGGAGGCGAGGAAGGGAGGAGGGGAGGAAGGGAGGAGGAGGGGGAGCAGGAAGGAAGGGAGGCAGGAAGAGGGAAGGGAGGCAGGACGAGGGAGCAGGAAAGGCAGGAGCATGAAGCCAGGGGAGGCCATCGCCCACACGGCCGACGGCCTCCGCCCCGACGGCTCCTGGAAGCCGCGCTGGGCCACACGCTCCCGCAGCTCCTTGGCGAGCCAGGCGCGCACGGGGGGGCGGGAGGAGAAAGGAAGGCCTCTCAGAAGGAGGCTGCTCCCCACAAGGCGCGGGCCTCCTCTCCAGATGCAGGGCCGGCGCCTTCGAAGAGGCAGCCTCCCTCTCAGAAGCCCTCCCCCCTCCCCCTGACCCCTGGTGCGCGCCGCCCGTCCTTGGCGAGCCGGGCGCGCAGGCCGGGCAGCTCGGCCGCGCCGCCCACCACGACCTCGCCGCCGCCGCCGCCGCCGCCGTCCTCCGCCGCTGGCCTCCCGCCACGGGCACTCGCCGACGCCCCCAGGCGCAGCCGAGGCTCGAGCATCGGGGATCGGGGCCCAGGTCACGGACCCCGATCTCCCCGGACCCCCGACCCTCGATCCTCGAGCCACGGAGGGAGCAAAGAGGAGGCGAGAGCAGGAGAGAGAGTCGGGCCAGGCGACAGGGGGGGATAGCAAAGGGGGGGATTTGAGAGTCAGCTCGCGTAGCTGATTTTCCCGGCGCCTCCCGGCGCCAGAGGCGGCGATGTATCGAGGAATGGGCCCGGTGGGGCCGAAACCAGCTGCATGCAGCACACTTCGTAACCCCCCCTTTCCTGATCCCCCCCTTTCGTCCGGCCCGAGAGAGATGCGAGTCCGACGGCTACTCACCCGGCCGAAGGCCCTGGGGGGGGAGGAGGGCATCCGAGAGGTTACCTCTCCGGCGAGGCTCGACGCAGGCAGGCACACGCTGGGCCAGCGACGGGCACCCCTATAGGGCAGAACGCTCCCCGCCTGCTTCTCCGCCGGTCTGGGAGAGTCGGGGGCGGCAGAGAGGGGGGCCTCAAAGAGGGGGGGGGCGCTAAATCATGGCCGGCGGCACATGCGCGGCCCAGGTTGGGGGCCAGGGACGCATTGAAGTAAGGAGAGGCGCCATGAAATCTGGGGAAATATCATGGCCCACGCCATGGTATCCACCCTGGGGCGGATATCATGGCGTGGGCCAAGATATCTAAGCTCCTCGTGATGACTAGGTGATGACCAGGGGGGGGACCTCCCCCTAATCATCACCCCCCTCTTTGCCGCACCCGAGAGAGGAGGCCGGGGAGGAAGGACGGAGGATAGGAACAAGGAAAGGCGACGCCAACACCAACAGGGCGAGGAGATGCGAGGAGGCAAGGGGGAACTCCCTGGTGGTGTGGTCCCCCCCTCTCGCTCGAGGCATCCCCAGCCTCCAGCTCGGAGAGGCATCGTGGACCTTCTCGCTAGCGGTGGGCCCCCTGGTGGTGTTGGTATCGCTTCTCCTCCCTCCGAGGAGGGAGGGACGGAGGGGGGACGGAGGGGGGGAAACCCACAAATACCGATTTCGATACTCCCTGGACCTCTCCTGGGATGCGTTCTGACCGGGATTAAGAGGCGAATCAAGCCATGGCGACGAGAGCCCCCCAGGAGGCCCAACAAAAGGCAAAAAAGGCAAGGGTAGCGGTATCGGTGCCTTTCCCTACTCTGAGAATTCAAGCCAGACTGAGCCACCCGATGCGCAACTCCTAACCCGCAGCGTGTTGACACGGATGTCGACAAGTAGATTGACAACGTAGGTCTGGCGCGGTACCTTCGCCAAAGCTAGGGCCAACACGGGCCGAGCCAACACACAACATAATCAACACCGGACGTTTTGAAAATGGTACGTGTTGTGTTTCAACGCGGGCGTATCAGTGCAGCTAAGGCTGGAAGGACCTAGCCTCGAGGGCTCTGGCAGACATCTTTCAACCGGAGCCTTGGCCCCACCTTTTCTGCGGCACCTGTCGAGCCAGATCGATAGTCAAGGAATATGCAAAAACATAACATGTCATCCACGTGGGCCCCAAACTGTGTTTCTGGCAATCTATGTTGTGCAAGACATGTGGAGCAGAAGCTTATGTGGTGCCACGTTTGTGGTGCTATCTGCGTTGAGCATCCTATATGATGCAAGAGTTGTGGTGCAGCATATGTGGTGCACTGTGGGATGTGCAATATGAGATGGACAACCTAGGTGGTGCAATAGACGTGGTGCAATATAGGTTGTGCCCTTTATGTGGTGCAATATATGTTGCGCAATATGGGTGGTACAGTATATGTGGTTCAATGTACGTGTCGCATGCAATTTCTGATGTGTAATGTATGTGGTGCACTCTACGTGGTCCGATGCGAAGAGAAGCAAACCGATGCAAAGCAGTGCGTCGCAAAGCTAAACAACGCAAAGCAATGCGCAATGCGCAGCAATGCAGCGCCACGCAGACGACATAGCAAGGCCCAGACGACGGGCGGCGACGGACGCGGCGAAGCGGCGGAGACGGCGGTTGCATAACCGCCAGAGCGGCACACCAGCCCACAAGACGGGCGGCGACGAGGCGGCGGCGGAGCGGCGACGGCGGCAACATAGCTGCAGCGGCACGCCAGGCCAACTCCTTAAAACTGATTTGTCCACCCTGGCAAGAAACCCATGAACCACGAACCGCAAGTATCCACGTGTCGGCATGCCCAGGGCAGCCTTCGGCCAGGAGAAAGAAGACGCCGAGAAGATAGGGAAGGGTTGCACATTCCCGCGCCCACGCGCCTACGCGTCGATATGGAAACGGCTAACACGGCACCATGCAATCCCCGTTGGGAGGAGGAGCAGGAGGAGGAGGAGGAGCAGGAGGTGGAGAAGGAGGAGGAGGGGAGGAAGGAGGAAAAGCGGCAAGCTGGTTTCGCCAAGCAACTCGGGACAACTTCAAGGCTAACTGCCATGGGCTGGCCCGTAAATGGAACCATGGCTTGGGAGAGCGTGCGGTGCCGTAGTGCGTGCGGCGCCAGCAAAGCAGAATGGCAAAATGAACACAGTAGGGACAAGGAGGGGAAGTACAAAGATACCACTACAGACGTGCCAGTGATAAAAACGCACCCCGATTTAATTCGCCCCAGAAACAATGCCCGGGGAGGGCGGAATCAAAGAGGAAGACATCACAGGTCGGAGCGCGGGTGGCAGAACATGTCGAAGTAATAACCGTCTCCGGCCAATATGGAGGCCGCTGGGCTTCTGGCGACGGGTGCTGGCGCACCGATATGGTTCGGAGGCCCCTCGGCTCAACAACCCGGGCGGGGTCATGCGTTGAATTCCGCCTTCCAGAGCTGCGATCTTGGGAGGATGGGATGGGTGCGGGTGCCAGCTGGAAGTGCGGTGATAGGCAGGGGGTGGCGGTAGCAGTGGGAGTGGGAGTGGGATGGGAGTCCTAAGTGGTAGTGAGTGCCTACAGGCAAGCACTGCCTTGGGAATTGTTGAGGGGCGCGCTGACTTCCTGGGTCGCCCTGGCGCGAGGAGCGCGCCAGGGGCGGCGCCAGAGGCGCCGCCAGGGGGCTCCTGCGCCGTTCGAAGATATCCGCTCGAATCTCCGAAAAAGTATGCTTATGCCATGATCTGTTCCCCGAGAGACGTGATGGCCCCGAGGTCCGAAGCTGAGCGAAAACGCAGAGTACGTTTATGACAGAATAGCAGCGCACGGATCTCGCAAGGAATGGGCGGAAGGCGAGGGGAACCGCACGGAGCCCAGATCGGTCCCCGGACCCCTCCCGGGGCCCAGACGCACCGGTCTTCCGTGTTGCGCACGGCCGTGGCGACGAGGGGTTCCCACGAAGGCCGAAGGCCAACTCGGAGGGACGAGGAGGGGAGCACGAGGAGGAGGGCGAAGAGGGAGAGCGAGGAGGAGGGCGAGGATGGGAGGGACGAGGAAGGGGAGGCCGAGTTTTTTATTGCCCGCCAGGAGCTTCGGGGGAGGGGGGGGAGGCGCGCAGCATTAAGGACCTCCTGCGGTTACCGCTGTCTCAGCTCGCGCTCCTATGAGAATCGAGGCCAGAGAATTTGGCGATCGGACCATAGCTCGGGTCTCCGGCCGCCGTTCGGGACGATCTGGGCATCCCCGGAACGCTCTCGGCGTGGCGCAGCTACCGGAGAGCATGCCGAGGCTGGCTGGAAAACCGCCGAGCACAGACGAGAACGTCCCGGACCTCCCTCGGACCTCAGGACCCATGACGAGAGGACGGCGACGGCGACGGCGACGGCGACGCCCGCCGCAGTCTTGCTGATGCACGCTTGACACAGCGCGCGCGCATCGTGCCACGAGAACGCCCAGTGAAACAGTCGCAACGCACGGATCTCGGGGATGGAGAAACGCAAGGGGAACCCCGAGGGCTCTTGCAGGGGCGAGGATCGGGGCCTCGAGGGGGGCGAGGGCCGGGTCGAGGGGAACCGGGGCCCGTTTCCAGGTCATAACTCGGCTCTCGGGCGGCCGTTCGGGACGATGATGGCCCCGCGGAAGGCCATCCAGGAGGGGCGGTTGATGGAGCGCATCCCGAGACTGGAAAGCCGCCGAGAGCCAGCGAAAACGTCCACAAACCGACGCGGAGATCTTGGCCTCGACGGCTCTGGCAGGGGCGAGAGCTCGGGAGCGGCCAAGAGGGGGGTGTCCAAGAATGGGGTGCGTGCAAATCATGACCGGCGGCAGGTGCGCGGCCCAGCGGGGGGGCCAGGGACGAAATGAAATAAGACGAGGCGCCACGAAATCAGGGAAATGTCATGGCCCCCGCCATGATTTAACGGACGAGGGACGGTATAAAATAAACTTTTTCGCCGTCGGGGACACCTGCCCCTGGGCGGCTGGAAAGTTTCTACCCTCACGGTGGCACCGTAGGGGTAGAAACTTTCCCAGCCGCCCAGGGGCAGGCGCCCCCGACGGCGAAAAATTTTCTCTTACACCGTTCTTCGCCCGCGAAATCAGATCCACCCCCCCCCCCCTAGTCATCACCCCCTCTTTGCCGCCCCCGACCGATGGCGGTGGAGGCATGGGCCCGGCCATGGGGAAATCAGAAGCAACGATGTACCGGGACTCCCCGGACCCCTCCCGGCGTGCGTCCTGCCCAGAACTTCGAGGCGAACCCAACGGTGGTGATCAGAGGGCCTCCCAGGAGGGCGAAGAAGGGGGAATCGGGGCGAAGGGCAGCAGCATGGGTACCGTCGAGGCGCTGACCCCCTCTTTGCCGCCCCCGAGCTCTGGCAGGGGCGGGAGCGCGCGGCAGGACCACGGAGCCCAGCAGCCGCGACCACACGGCGTCGCGGTCCTCGCACGGCCCCGCCGCGGCCGCGGCCCGCGCCGCGGCCTCGAGCACCAGCTGCGGCAGGCTGCCGGACAGCGGCCAGAAGAGCGCCTCGCCGCCGCCGGTCGGCGGTGGCGTCGTCGTCGAGCTCGTCGTCGTCGAGCTCTCATATCCCTAGGCGCCTGGCGTCGCAGCGTTGCGCTCCAGGCCATGTCGCCTCGTTTCGGGGCCCAGGGCCATCGCAGATCGATCCGGCTCGCGAAAAATGGTGCAAAAAAGATCGGATCTGATCGAGGGCTTCGCGTCGTGACTTTTTTTTGACGATGCTGCAAGTTGATCGATCCGGCTCGAGGAAAATGGTGCAAAAAGAGCGGGTCTAATCTCAAGGGCTTCCCGTCGTGACTTTTTTTTGACGATGCTGCAAGCTGATCGCGACGTCGGATCTCAGGGATACCGCCGTGGCGTCGTCGTCGAGCTCGTCATCGTCCAGATCCCAGCGTTTCGGCATCATCCGATTCGGCGTCGTCGTGGTCGGAATCGTCGTCGTCCGAAGGATGATGGAGGAGGGGTCCAGTTCAGGAGGAGGGGCAAAAAAGATGGCGGCTTCTCTTCAACTGAGAAGTGAGGGAGGGGGGATGCTGGGCTGTGCTGGGGGGCGCTCCGGGGTCGCAGCTCTTCTGGGGCTGTCGGGGAGAAGGTGGAAGAATGAGTGAACGACCCCTGGAGAGTCCTGGTCACCTACACCTCTCGCAGCCGCTGAATGGCGAGAGCACGGAAGCGAAAGGCATCCGAGACTGAAATGCAAACGTGAGGGGGAGCGCCTACCTCTCCCTTCAAGGAGTTGAGGAAGAGGAGGAGGAGGAGCAGGAGGAGGAGGAGGAGCAGGAAAAGGAGGAGTGACAAGGAAGAGGGGGGAAGGGGGAATGACGGATTGAGGCGAAGTGATGAGGGATGTTCTAGTATTCGCAATGCCTGCCAACCTCCACATACAGCAGGAAAATACTCTTCTGGAGCTCCGCGGCGAAAACGAAACGGCCAAGGGAGAGGCAAAAGGCTACGAAGTCGTAGCATACAAGGCACACTCAACGATCCCAACGAAATACTCGCACCGCGTGCAAGGAAACACCTCGAGGGCCACACATGCGGCACGAGCTGTACAGCACAACCTTTTCCAAACAGCGGAATGCCCAAGACGCCTCTGGTATGGATGAACATGCCAACACCACACAATGCGATCATGGACTTACTTTGCGCTCGCCGATTAAACACGAGCAACACATGTCCAGGTCACAATGAGTGCACGACAACATCTTGATATCCTTCCGAATGAGCTCGCCGCAAGCGTTGCATTCCAAGTCAAAGTCCGTGGAACGGGCCTCCACGAGACCTGGCTCAAGAGGGCATTGGCAAGGGTGCCTGCGGTCCTCGCTGAAGACGACCTTGTCCGAATCTGGCTTAGAAGATGAGGAGCATGAGCCAGCATCCACCTCCGCGAACGCGCCGTCCAGCAGCCCCTCCAGCTGCGCGGTCCTGGTGCCGCCATGGACCTCGACTCCCACGTCGACCCAGCGCAACTCCGCAACCTCCCAGGTCGCGGCGATCCCGTGCCTCTTGGAAACACTCTGGGCTGGTCGAGGCTGTCCGAGAAGACGACAGCTCCGCAAGTACAGCGCGTTCACAGCTCCAGCGGCCCCCATCACCCCGCAGAAATAGAGGACAGCAACCTCCGCACGTAGCCCATGACCGCCGATTGGAGCCGCTGCCTCGCCACCTTTGGGGCTTCGCCGCCACTGCCGAATGCTGTGCCTGGCCACTTCCGCCGAAGCCGCAAGCCCAAAGCGCGGTCCGCGCTGCACAGCCCGTGAGGTGTGCACGTCGGCCGCCGCCAGCGACTGCAACCCCTGCGCGGCAGCATGGAGGGCCACGTTCCTGCGGAGCCGATCCAGCTTCGCCGGCTCATGTCCGCGTACCATCGCGGAGAACGCTGGAAGAACAGCTCGAATTCGATCAGCGACACCCCCCGCCGACCAGCATGTCGAAGGCATTCGCCAGCTCCGGCGCGCGCGCCAGGGCCGCCGCCAGACCAGGGTCTGTTGCAGCCACTGCGCGGCGCCTCGCAGCCGAGCGCTCGGCACGCGAGCGCATCTTTACAAAGCGAGGGGATCGCCATCCATGACTACCTACCAGACCACCCCAACCCAACCCGAAGACCCGAATTTCGGGTTTGGGGGGGTACGGGTTCCATATGTGTTCTCTCGATGTTCCCCGACCCCCCCCCAACTGGAAATGGAGGGCAAATCGAGACCCTCGGGTTGGGTTGGGGTGGTTTGGTGGGTGGTGAATCCAGCGGCGACCCCGCCCGCGCCACCTCAGGACCCACCGCGGCAACTCCCCCCAGCGCCGGCCTGGGCGCAAAGCAGCCAGCGGGCTCGAGCAACAGAGGGGGTTTCGTCCGCCTCGTGGGCGGCCTGGGCCCCAAGATGGCTTGAGGCGGCATGGCTGCGGACGGGGAGGGGCGAGGGAGCAAGGGAGATGGGAGGGTAGGGAGGACGGTGGGAGAGGAGGGAGGGAGGAGGAGGAAAGGAGGGAGGAGGGAGGCGGGAGGGTAGTCGCTAGCTGTACACCGGGGGTGAGAAGGGTAAGGTGGTGTGGCCATGGGGTGTGCGAAAGGGCTCGCGGGGCTCTGTGGGGCTGAGGTAGCCGGGACAGGGAGGAGGAGAAGGAGAAATAAAAATACAATAACACATGAGAGAAGAAGGGGGAAGGGAGGGTGGACGGAAGGAGGGAGGGGATGGGGACGGGGCTGTGGAGGAAAAAGAGGAGAAGGAAAGGACGAATGGGGAGGGAGGTGGGCCGAAGAAAACAGAGCGAGGAGACGGAGATAAGATGAGAGCAGTCGCGAAGCGAGTTAATGAATCACAAGCGCAAAGCCGCCCCTGGGAACCCGCAGACGAAGCACAGGTCGATGCTGAAGCACGAGGAGCAGAAAACTACACCTCGGATGAATACCTCACCAGCAATTGAACAGAGGCCCACTAAGCCGAGCCGAGAGTTACTCGATGCGGCCCAGTACAGCACAATAACCTCCATTGATAATCGGGCAACCTCGAACTCCGCAAAACAATCGATGCAGCTCCGAAGATCAACCGCCACCCTCGAAAACAACCAAGCTACCTGAAGCCAGCTGCATATCTTCATTCCTCTACGCTTGGATTAAATACCAGCATAGTGCGCAGAGAAACACAGAAATTACACTGAGACTTGCACAGGCGACCCACATTCCACCAGTAAACTGGAGTAGACGCAACCTCCCAGCTCCTAACAGTATGCCCAAGCCAACTGTGGTCATGTGCATTAAGAACCCCGATAAACAGGACGATTTAACGCCCAGCGACACTTCACCCCCAAACGCATTGAAGTAACAAGTGGATGACAGCTGCAACTAAGCCCCACCAACAAATTAATGTAAGAAGCGGGCGAGTGGGTAAGTGCACAACCAGCCTCCTCCCATGGACGCTGTTTCTGTCACGCCGAAACTGATGCGCATGATGACCCAGAAGACGCTGCACCACCACTGCCAGTCGAAGTGCTGAGCTCACTGATGCAAGTGACCCCACCTGTCGGACAGCTGGCGAGACGATTGCTGCTTGGCGATCGCGTACACACTACTACGGCGAGCATCCACATCACCGTCGTGTTGAGATTCGCGTGCGGCTGACTAACACACGGCGAAACTCCGTCATCTGGCCAAAGCGGAGCTTCACAGTCGCAACACAGGAAGCCCTCCATGATCTGCTTAACTCTATAGCACTTCTCCGACTTATGAACGCCCGCGTGCAGTCGGGCCGCTGAAAGAAGGAACGCAAACTAAGGAACGAAGCCCTTCCTTGGCCCTGTAAGCGCCTCCGTGCCCCAGGAGGGCAAGAGGAACAGCACTGGAGGAACCTAAGGGACATCGAGCCCCTTCCGACCCAAACTGTTCCTTATCTCAGCGTGACGACTGTACGTACCAACGCGTCCTCCTAGAATCCGCAGGCTGAAACTAAAGAATTAAGGAGAGCCGAGAACACACAGAAGTCGATATCCCCTCTCTTCCCCTAACACCAGTCCTGATCTCCCTCGCCGCTCCTCGCACGCTTCTCCCTCTTCTTCTTCCTCCTGCTCCCCCTTCTCCTCCTCCTCTAGACTCCCTAGAACGCTCCTCCTCCTCCTCCTCCTCCCCCTCATCCTCCTCGCGCTCCCCCTATCCTCCTCCTCATCTTCTGCTTCATCTTCGTCATCACCCCCCAAACGCATCATCGCCATTACCACCAGCATCAGCATCAGCATCAGCATCAGCATCAGCATCAGCATCAGTATCATCACCATCGCCATCATACATCATCACCATCATCATACATCATCATCAGCATCAGCATCGTCATCGTCATGATCGAATTCATCGTCATCATCGTCAGCACCATCATCAAAATCAGCATCATCATCAGCATCACCAACATCGTTATGACCATCGTAAGCACTACCATGAGCAGCATCATCATCATCGTCGTCCTCCTCCTCCTCCTCCTCCTCCTCCGCATCATGACCATCATCATCAGCAGCAGCATCAGAACCAGCATCATCAGCATCTGCATCATCAGCATCAGTATCAGCATCATCCGCATCGTCATCAGCAGCAGCAGCAACATCATCATCGTCATCATCATCAGCGGCAGCAGCAGCGTCATCAATAACATCATCAGCATCAGCATCAGCATCAGCAGCATCATCATCATCACCATTATCATCATCAGCATCAGCATTAGCATCATCATCACCACCATCACCATCACCACCACCATCACCATCGTCATCCTCATCATCATCATCGTCATCATCATCATTGTCATCTCATCCTGGCGCGTTAACTGGCAGGACCTGTCCGCCGCTACGTGCGGTCTGCCTCGCCCTCCTCATCCTCCTCCTCCTCCTCATCCTCATCCTCCTCCTCATCCTCATCCTCCTCCTCCTCTCTCCTCCCCCTCTTCTTCATCCTCCTCCTCTTCCTCCTCCTCCTCCTCCCCGTAACCCTCATCCCGCTCGTCCTCCACCTTCTCGTCCTCCATCCCCCTCATCCCCCTCCTCCTCCCCCTCCTCCCCTCCTCCTCCTCCTCCTCCTCCTCCTCCTCCTCCTCCTCCTCCTCCTCCTCCTCCTCCTCCTCCTTCTCATTCTCCTCCTCCTCCCCCCCCTCCTCCTCCTCCTCCTCCTCCTACTCCTCCTCCTCCTCCTCTGACGACGACGACGACGACGACGACGACGACGACGACGACGCGCCTCTGGGACCAGATAGCGCTCACTCCCCAGCAGCGCGGTGGCGCCGGCGAAGGGGACCTCCACAGGGGCCTGATCCTGGGGGCCAGAAGGGAGGGAGAGAGGGAGGAAGGGAGGGCGCGAGGGAGTGCAGGGGGGAGGCAAAACCCCAATGCCCAAGCAGGACGCGTGCGCGCGGTGGAGTTTCTGCTGGAGGAGCACCTCGTCAGCACGGCGGTGCAGCGAGCCGTCCGCCCACGCGCGCTGGCCGCCAGGCCTGGCGTCCACGCGGGCCCCCAGCCTTTTCCCACATGAGCTGGAGCGACATCTCCTGCAAGCGACCGCCGCACCCGGCGACGACACTCGCGCAGCGCTGGCCGCGGCCGTGTCCAAGAGCCCAGCGAAGAGCCCGCGCCGCTCCCAGATCACGGCAGCTTTGAGCACCGTCGCACGCTGCTGGCCGACACCCCCGCTCTGGTGGCGGTGGCCAGGGTCGCGGTCGTCGTTCTTGCTCGGCGAGCTCGACACGGAGGCCACGAGCGCGAACCTAGGGCCCCGGTTCGTGGTCCAGCGAATCGAGCGTGAATTCGTGGGGGGCGATCAGTGGGGGAAGAAGCGTGCACCTTTCGTGCCCTTTTTGGACCCCAGGGGCCCCTTCAGGGGCCCTCTAGAGCACGCAAGATGCACTTTTCCGCAACCCCCATTCACCGCCCCCCATCTCTCGGCGCCCGAGCGAAAGCGCAACGGCACCTTCCAGCCGATCGACCCTCGGGAGGAGAAGGGGTCGAGAGCTCTTTAGCAAGCGCAGCGATCGACTGGGCAAACCTGGACAGGACATCAAAGGTCACAGATTTCAGCCTCGTCGATCTGATCTGGAATTCTTCTGGCGACGACACTGCGAAATGTGGATCAGCCCCGAGACGAACAAAGAGGTCAACCACGTGTTGCCAAACGAAATGCTCAATATGGCCAGGGGCCCATCCCTCGACCACGTCCATCCGTTCACGGTGGGGCGGGGCCCATTCAAAGGAAGGCCGCGGGGCAGCTGCTTGCTGCTAGAAGCTTGGAGGGGGGCCCGCGCCAGCCCCTCCCGCACGGCGCCCAGGTGGTCCGACACGAACCAACACGTCCATGGGACAGACTCAAAAAGCGACTGGCACACAACGAAACGCTCAGTCCGAAGAACAGACGGGACACGACCAGGAAGGGCGCCAACACGGGCGTGGATCGGCAGCCCCTTGGGGTCGACTTCCGCCGCGGCCAATCCACGCCTCCGAATCTTAGGGCTCTTGTTGGCCAGCCACGGGCCGTCGGCTTAGACGCGCCGACCCCACGGCGCTTCGGCCTCACCCCACCAGCGCGCAGGGAGCTGGCTTGGGACAGGGTCGAGAGCCACGGGGGCCACGTGGATCCCAAACCGACGCTCCAGGGAATCCCAAACCAGCACGCCGTTGTCAAACCAACCCTTACCCCGAAGCTCCGCCCGGGGCTCGAAGACGTGACCCGCCCGTGCGCCGGTCCACTGCAGCATTGCAGCCGTGCGCGTGGCGACCAAGAAAACCCAATACCTGCTGATTGCAGAAGACATGGGCGAGCAACGACATATGTACATGTACGCCCTCAGCGGTGTTACCTGCACGAACGTCCGCGTTGACACGCACTCCAGGGGAAACTAACCGCGTACGTGTACATATGTTGCTGGCCTCTGAAGACACATCGATCTGCGGCGGAAGCAGGCCGACAACATACTTTCGCTCGGGCGCCCGCAGAGCGCTGCCGCTCCAACATCACATGGCAGCACGGCGGGAGGCACCGCAAAATTCAGAACGCGCCGCATCGGAACTCCCCCGGCCACGAGACTTCGTTGCCCAGGGCCTGGGGGGGGGAGCAGACGACGCGCCTGCATCCCTTGGACGCCCTCTCGCACCTGCGCCACCAAGACGAGCGGAGCAGCTCGAAGCAAGTCAATCGTATCGCCAGCAACCGTGATCAAGAAATGCGCGGCGGCCACGGACCAGCGGAGTCGCATCGGACTTCACAAAATTAAGCAGGGACCGACCGTCCCAGCATTCCGATAGCCCTACCACGAAATGTTCTTAGAACCCAAGAATGTTCTTAGAACAAGAACAATGTTCTTAGAACATAAGCCCGATGTGATAAAACAAAACGGTCTCAGCCAGGAATGTTCTAAGAACATTTCGTGGAAACCACAAAAGGTTCTTAAAACATTGCTTGGTAGGGCTATAGGCGAACCAGGACGCTTCGTCATTGCTTGACAGAACTGCACGAACTGGGCCTCGGCACGACTTCCAAAACGGCTGCTCTTTGATCCGAGCTCGAATGACCACCCGCTCTCTCTGAAGCAGCCCAAAAAGGGGACTTCGCATCCCAGGTCCTGGACGCGTCTCGCTTGATCAATGGCACGGTAGCTTCGAAAATGGGGTAATGCAAAGGGCCCACCAAATTTCCATTCATGGCGCGATGGGCCGTCAACGTCGAGTCCGTCAGGCCGCTGGCCCCGCCCCGCTGCCCACAGCAGGCGTGCGGCCTGTGACATGTGCGCCTTGCCAGGAGCCGCTTGACGCAGTTCCGGAAATTTGCCACCACAGTCGAGAACTCTGTTTAAACGAAGCTGATCCTCTGACCGAACAGGCCGGCCAGAAAAACATCATGTACAAGATTTCTCATGCGGGAGTGGCTCGGCAGTCTCAGGATACAGGCAGACGACGACAGACGAGACGATACTCTCGCAGCGGAAACCACCAACCCACTCTTGAGCGCATGCAGAATAAGACCAAACGGTATACACCGTTTCGCAATACTACCTGACTGCAGCACGAAGGAAATCAGACTGGGGCCACCGCTTCCCGATTCACTGCAAGCTCGACTCGTCCATCAACACTCGCGGGTGCACAGTGGGGTATGTCTTGCGCATGCTAATTATGGCACTGTGTAGTAGGACATGCATCGTCGTGTTGGCGTGGCTGCATACAACCAAGACTAAGACACCTTGCTGCGTGGCGACCTGCCGAAACACAGACCCGAAAACCTGGATCATGCGAGGATACCGATTGGACACAGTAAGAGAGACTCAGAGGCGGGCAGCCAACTTGCTTGGCCTGGCTCGAGCCAAAATGGTGTGAGACAATGATGCACTCGACGCATTTAAGCGTGCCGTGGAGGAGGAGAAGGAGGAGGAGGAGGAGGAGTGTCCAAAAGTGCGTTCAACGGTTTTTCAAAAGAGGCCTGGTTGTTTCGGGCGGGGTCCTGGATCTGGGGGGTTCAGAGGCACCCGCTGAAGTTCTAAGTGAGAGGGGAGGAATGGCACGCCTGGCACGGGGACGGAACGGGGAAGGACGATACCTAACAACAAAAGCTGCCCAACACGGTCGGAGGCCACTGTTGGACAGGCGACGCTCGTCCCAGGATGGAGCACGGATCCGCGGCGGTGCTGGCAACGAAATCTTAAAATGGGCTGGAGCTGCCGCCAACCAGTACTGGCCCCCTTGGCTTCCGCCCCTGTTCGCCCCCCCCCGCCCCCAAAGAGGGGGAGCTAGGATGGGTATAAACAAGCCGCTTCAACCATCAATATTGTTGTGTCCATGTGGCCCACGCTGGGTTCACGATTATTTCGGCTAACCTGATCCACTTCTCTTCTACAGGGGGGAGAGGAGGAGCTACGGAGTTACGGATAGCTCGACTGGGTCGATTATTATCAAATTACGCAGATCGGCTGACTCCCTTGGCCTGCTCGGCTTTGCTGAAATCCATCGGCCACATACCCTGAACAAAACTGCGGAGGTCTCTCTGATTACCCTCGACACGCAGGATGTATGACTTCCAGAGCTTGGCCAACTGTTGGGCCGCGAAGATTGCAGTGTCCCGCAAAACCAGATTACCAACCCTGAGTGAAGCTTTGAATGATACCTGTTACGAGCCCCCCCCCTCTGCATACGAATTGTCCGAAACGAACCCAGCTAGGTCCGACGAGCAGCCTGGGAGGTTGAACATCTACACCGCAGACACGAATGTCCGATGTTATTGAGACGGTGCCGAACAAACGTGAGGAGCAAGAGGCCTAGGTCCAGCGTGCCTGGCACGGGCTCTCTGGGGCTCATCACGACATACAACAAGCTCAGCTTCGAGAGGTTGGACTGCGCTGGCAAGGATTCGCATCTGGACTCAAAACGCCATTCGCTCAACGTGGGCATCTGTCGCTCTGTCGGAATCTGGGAACCTACGGCACTTAGCTCCAGCACCCGCAAGGCAATCAGCCACAGTGTTGCTAACGGCCAGAATGGGCGGGTAGCGTCCAGCTAGGCGGATAGCGTCCAGCTACTTACCATTCGATTCCTGATGAGAGTGCGTATACAGAACAGCACATCGAACGGGCGTACAATGTGTGAGCTCCTGCCCAATCAAAAGCCACAAATCACGATCATCACCGCGTTGATCTTGCGGCGGTCCTGAATAACTCTCTCCACAAACGTTAGCATTGCCAGTACCATACAACACGTGACCGTCCCCTCCTTGGAAAGCTGCGAGCAGGCCGAACAACTCTCCCCTTGGCACAGTTGGCTCAGGATCAAGGAGGCAGCCCCAAATCGCTCTGGTCAGCGGCATGGACTCAGCCAGCTCTGAAAAGACTGCCAGGCCACCTCGGAACCTCCTCCGGCGAGGGTCGTGAGTGTCCTCGCCGCCGCTCGCATCGCCAAATATAACTCGGGGCGGCTGCCGCCCGCCCCTGGGCATCCGTGAATGAAGCCGTCAATTCCAAATGCCTGCCAGTCGGGATACAACTGAGGTGGCGCCACCTGCACCCAACTGGATGGGATGATGCCGCGCAGCCAGAAGTAGGGCTCGGACTCATGCTGGGCCTAAGCCTTCGGCAGGAGCTCATCGCTCATGTCGTAGATCGGGCGCGCGGCCGCAGCGGTGGAAACTGTCCCCGGGCACATCCTGGCAGCGCGCACGGCAATGACAGTGACAGTTTGGCCCGCTCCGATCGCCGAGTGCAGGGCAATGCTGCACCTGCGGCGGCCGCCAGCATCAGTCCAGCAAGCCAAGGCCCACCGGGCCCGTCGCGCAGCTGCGAGGTTCACCAGCGGCAAGACAGGTTGCGCACTCCGACCTGCATCCCCTCACCGTCGAATTGCGCCGATGCTTGTCTGCACTGCCTGGCTTGCACCGTGGCCTCGACCTCGCGTAGACAGGAGCTGGCCACGTCCAGACCCCGAACACCAGTGAGCTTGGAAACGTGGAACTCCCAAACGTCGTGCCTGCCATCGGCATCCCTCGGGATCTGCCAGGTCGCGGGACCGATGGGCTCCCATCCCTCCTGCAACAAATGGCACAGCACAGCAGACTTAGGCCGGCGAGTGTGTCGACAGCGCTGCTGCGGTGCCAACGACTGCGTATCTCGAACGATCTGAGGCCACGGGCGCTCAACACCTGTGTATGCACTACCGGTTGGGATGCCCCACGGTTGGGCCAAAGCTGCAGGCACTCTCTCGGCATCTTTAGCGAAGGGTCACGCTCAGGTGCGCAAAGGTCAAAATGCGTGGCACGGTACCTGCCAGTCAAGCGTGGCGCCACAGCATGGCACACATAAGACCTCATGCACTGCATCCGTCACCCGAACACGCCGTGCACCTGGTGTCCGCATGCCCCTGCCGTCCGCGTGCACTGCTGCTCGAGCCTACCCATCAACGGGTACCTGCGCGCCGTCCTGGCATACCGAATCGTATTGCTGTGCATCATATTGTGCTTATCGTCGCGCTTGACGCGACATGCTCTGTCATGAAACTTGTCGCCCTCGAAGTCACTTCCGAGGTACGCTGCTTGTGCAGGAGGCAAGAAGAGGAGGAGGCAAGAAGCGGAGGAGGAGGAGGAGGAGGAGGAGGAGGAGGAGGAGGAGGAGGAGGAGGGGACGCCGCCCCCCCACCCCCACCCGCCGAAGCAGAGGCTGCTCCTGAGGGCCGACATCCTCCACCGCGTCGGGGGACAGCGGCCGCCCGCGCAGCGGGGCCTCGAGCGCCACGCAGCAGTGCCTCTCCTGAAGCAGGACGGCGAGGTCTGTGCATGTGTCCACTGCCCCTGGCCAGGCCGCATCCTCCTGCTCCTCCTCCTCATCGTGATCCTTCCTCCTCCTCCTCCCCCTCCTCCTCATCCTCCTCCTCCTCCTCCTCCTCCTCCTCCTCCTCCTCCTCCCCCTCCTTCTCCTCTTTCTCCACCTCCTCCCGGGAGGCATCTACACAGCTCTTGGGCCTAGGATGGGCCTGGCCAGAGGCGGTGGACATGTATCGACCTCGTCGCCCGATCCTTGAGCTCGCGGCACTCCATCAACAGGTCCCACTCGTCGTCGGGACCGCTGCCCAGGTCAACCTGGGCAGAAGGGCCAAACATAACCCATCACCACCAGGCCTCTCCCGCGCATGTTTTGGGGCCCAGATCTTTGGTGAATGTGTGGACGCTGGCGGGCGTTTCGGTAGAGATACCTGATAACCGTTGAACGTAATCCAAAAACGTCCCCCCCGAGACTCTCAACGCCAATCATATCGTAAAAAAGTCGCGGGGCAACTTGCCGAAACGTATCTTCAGCACCGAACAGCAAGAGCCCAAGGAAATCCTTAGGAACCATAGCACAACAAAAACAACATCTACGAAACTCATCATGGCCACGGAGGGACACATAAGGAAACGGAAGCCCCACGGGCCTCAGGGGAGCCTACGGAGCGTGGCATCCCTCCCCGTGCCATTTGCATAATTACCTGTTGCGAACCCGTACGGTTCGCATATGTACTTTTCCGAATTGAATGAGGCCGCCCCCTCGGACGAATAACGCCTCCGACGCCCTCCCCCCTCCCAACGATACCGTGAACGAGAAACTTCAAAGTTCCATACTTGTGACGCGCACCAGCGAACAATACCAGAAGTGGCATAAGAGGCAAACCAATCGTCCTCATGAAACGGGAGCTACAAGAAGCCCAAAATTCCAAATAATGCATACAGAATTACGGATAGATGCTGTTTTCCACATCGGACAAGGGAGAACGAATCCCAGGCGCCGACCTGGCGCCCAAGCCCTCCCCTGGACACAAGTTGCTGGATCCCCCCAGGCTTGTGCAGCGAACCCCACCAGGAAGCTCAGGCCCCCCCAGCTCCCAGCTTGGAGCAGCAGCCCTCGTACTCGAGGGCAGAGGGTGGCGGATGGGGACGTGGTGGACCAGAAAACTTTGAGCCACGGCGACTGTTGCCTGAGCCCCAGTCCAGGGCTATTGCAAGAATTTTGGCCTGAGCACCCTGTCCCAGGAACGAGGCCGAACCCCGGGGGACAAATCCTCCCCCCCCTTCAATAGACACTTCTGTTGAATTCGACTGCGACGCAAGAAAACAAATCATCGCGATACGAACCACACTCAGCGCACAGCGCGATCAATCAGGCGTGTTCCCGGAGCCCTCCCCGGGAAATTTCAAAAATGGGGGAAGAACGAGCATCTGATCGAAATCACGCCCTAGGCCAGACCAAGCCGAAAAGGACCATGTTTTCCTGAGCCTCCTGTGTGTTGGGTCCTTTCGCTCTGTTCGCCAGCGCAGTGACTCTGCCTAGCCGCCGACACGAAAAGTGTGTTGGGTCCTCGTTTTGAATCCGCAGTGCCGCGCGTCGCCGCCTCTCCTCGCACATCGCAAAGCGTACAAGTCCAGGTCGACCGGTGGCCCTGACTGAACGACAGTCCCATACAACACCTTACCAACAGGAGGACTTCGTTGCGTCCTCCAAAGCAAAGGCACTTTAGAGGGTGTGGGTGTGAGAGGCAGCTGCGGAACTCAGGACGAGAAGAGGGGCCAGGGGTCAGAGATCTTCTGTCCAGTACCTCCTGGAAGAATGCCCTCCCAAAATGTTCTTAGATCCGACCTAGATGTAGGCTTTGGGCGACACGGGCCGAGAAGCTTGCAAGCCCTCGCGGAAGCCATGTACCCACATTGCCCACAACATAAAACTGGTATGCTACTTGTTCCGCCAGATCCACCCAGAGAGGGTGCTCAAAAGTGGGCCCACTAGCACTATTGATAAACTTCTCCATCGACGGGGGAAAATGAAAGTCTGTTCATTGGCAAGTTACTCCAGATTTCGTAATAAAAGGGAGGGGGTCTGGACCCTCCAAGACAAGCCATTTCAGACCCTCCCCCCAGGCTCTCCAAGATACCCTGGAAGAGACCCCCCCCGAAACGAGACCCCCCTCCCTTTATTACGAAATCTGGAGTACCTGGCCCCTCTTCCGTGGCACACTTGGCACACCAAGCTCGCGCCATCACACCTCGGAGCGAGTGGGCGCAGAGGCGCGGGGAAGGCTACAGATTTTCGCACCCTGGGCAGCCCCCCAAATATACCTTTCGGGGGGGGGCATAGGGTCTGATGTTGGAGCATGTTTCCGACAACTTGACTGTACATCTTACGTGTATCATTGAATGCCTTGAGGTACTCCAGATCCCGTGATAAAAGGGAGGGGGGCTGGACCCTCCTAGACAAGCCATTTCAGACCCCCCCCCGTGGGAGAACCCTCCAAAACGTCGTCCCCAGACCCCCCCAGGCCCTCCAAGATAGCCTGGAAGAGACCCCCCCCCCCGAAATGAGACCCCCCTCCCTTTATTACGAAATCTGGAGTACACACTGCGCATGGCTTTCTTAGCTGCTGTCTTAGATTCATGGTCCGCCCACGTGTTGCCCCGGACGTGGCATAGCTCTAAAGGGCTCTCAGCGTCGGCCTCCGAACGGTGTGCCTTGACCTTGACGGCAACATACGTGGGTCTCCTTTACTCTCCTCTCCTCTCCTCTCCTATCCTTCTCCCCCTCCTCCTTCCTCTCCTCGTCCTGTTCATCCTTGTCATCAACATCACCTTCGTCGTCGTCATCAACGTCCTTATCCTTATGATCCCTCTTCCAAGCACCCCTTTCACCACCACCATCATCATCATCATCAACATCATCGTCATCATCACCATCATCACCATCATCACCATCATCACCATCATCATACTCTGGAGAGGCGCGCCACAACAATCATCAGCAACATCAATGCAATCAGCATCAACCGCAACAAGATCATCATCATCACCATCATCATCATCAGCATCGTCATCGCCATCGTCATCGTCATCATCCCCATCCCTACCAGCATCGTCATCATCATCATCACAATCACCATCGTCGTCATCATCCTCATCACCACCATCATCATCCTCATCATCGTCATCATTACCATCATCATCAGCATCATCATCATCATCATCATCATCATCATCATCATCATCATCATCATCACCATGACCATGAAACAGCAGCATCATCATTGTCAAGCCTTGGGGGTACCCCTCACGCGTTTCGTGCCCCCATACGGAGGCCCAACAAAGGCCCCAGTGGCTGGGTTCCCATGGTGACTCGGGTCCCTTTCAGCAGACCTATCACGTGTTTCGTGGCCCCACAGGGAGCCCCACCGAAAGCCCCAGTGGCTGGGTTCACATGGTGACGCGGGTCCGTGTTGGCAGACCTATCACACATTTCTTAGCCCCATCGGGAGCTCCACTGAAGGCACCAGTGGCTGGGTTCACATGGTGACTCGGGTCCATGCTGGCACACCCCTCACACGCTTCGGGGCCCCATAGGGAGTTCCTTTACGAAGCTAGGAGCCAGGAGTCGCAAGCCGAATTAGGCTTCGAGGAGGACCTCCGCGCTGCGGAGCCTGAGCTTGCCAGGGAATCGTGAGCTCGCGGCGCAATCGTGTCGCCCACTGCCTGGACTCCCGCGCGCTGCTCTTGAGCTGTTGTTCCTCAAAATATTCCTCATCCTGCTTCCTCTGCACCCGCCCTCGCCCTTCACCTTCCCGTGTGTGATTTGAATCGCGTGAGTAAGTGCCGAGCCTCGTCCGACGTTCTCTGGCGAAATTTCCAGATGTATAGCGGATCCCCCCAACGAGTTCTTGTGCATTGAGCAGTCCGGTTGATATTTTCCACGCGTGTAGACTGAGTTGGGTTCTTCGCCAGGGAACGTTTTGCCGCAGGCACTGACCATCATCACCATGAGCCCCAAGGACCATGATTGACGAAGAACGAACATGAAGGGCACAGAAAAGAAAGCCCACATACTCACATGCGTAGCACCTCTGGGTTTGAAAGGGAAGTGAGATCTGGGCGCCCACGAGCAGACACCAGGCGGAACCTCGGCTGACCCACCCAGCGCGCGAGGCGCCCATGCGCCCACAAGTGGGTACCAGGCGAAACCTCGGCTAACCCACGCAAGAGCTTCAAGAGGCGCCCACGGGCGCCCACAATCTTTTTGCACGACGGTGCCAGGCCGTAGGAGTCGGCGAGGCTGCCAGGACCTGTCGGCCCCGCCCCGCCAGGCTACGGTCTGATGCTCCACCCCAGCTGCCTCGCCGGAAGAGGCAACGGAAGCCCCGATGTGGCACCACGGCGCACCGCATCGGGCAAGCGCCTCACCCGTTCCAAGCTTGACGGTTGTGTTGCATCATCGGGGGACCTTGTCTGTCCCGTCGCGGCCCTATCCGCGTCGAATCCGTGTCGAACCCATGTCGGCCTCGTCGGATCCGTGTCGAATCCGTGTCGAATCCGCGTCGAATCCACGCCAAATCTGCGTCGAGTCCGCATCGAGCCCGCGTCGGGCACAAGAAAAGACAGCAATTTTGGGGACAGGCGAGGTCCCCCGAAGATGCAACGTAATGACGGGCGCAAGGTCCGTTCAGCACAGCAGCGTCGCTGTGCGAAGCGCCGTGCCAGCGGCGCTGCGCTCGGAGCTGTGGGCCTCTGCAGGCTGTGTCGAGCCGGCGCGCCCGACGAGGATATCCAGGAGAAGCACCCGCCCGCCGCCCGTCACGCGCAGCCAGCTCCACAAGCGCATGCGCTGGACCGCAGTGCCGCGCTACAGCGAGAACGAGCGGGTGCACTCGGGAGGCTGGATGCTGGCCGCAGTGTGGTCGTCGATGCCGAGGAGGCCACCGACTGGAAGACCAGCGCGCGCGAGGTTCTTGGCAAAGACGTTGAGGTAATCGGTGCCTTCCTTGGTCTTGCCGTGCACCACCTTCAGACTGACCTTGCCGAAGCGCGCCCAATTCATTCTACTGGGCAAGCCGAGCGTGTCACCGTTCGCGAAGAACCGCATCTCCTCAGTCTTATTCGTCCACGCCCCAGATATGGCCACCATCTGGAAGTACACGTCGGCGCAGAGGTCGCCCATGCGAGTGGCGTCGGCCTCCAGTTGCAACAGCGCGCCGCCGCTGGTGCTCCACCGCGGGATCTGCAGGAGGATGTTTTTGCCCGTCTGGTACAAGTCAAAGCGCTCGCCGTACATGTTGGTGAGGTGGGGGTCGCCCAAGCCAGAGACCACGCCACCGTGCGACGATATTCCCATTGGCGAAACTGGAGACACCAGTGGGGATGTCGGCGCTTGCGTGGGAGCCGGCGCTGGCGATGGCGTCGGCGCTAGCGTCTGAGCAGAGGTCGGCGCAGATGTCGGCGCTGGCGTCGGTGCCTGCGTCGGAGATGGTGTCGGTGCTGGCGTCGGTGCTGGCGTCGGCGCTGGCGTCGGTGCTAGCGTCGGCGCTGGTGTCGGTGCCGGCGTCGGCGCTGGTGTCGGTGCTGGCGTTGGCTTTGGCGTTGGCGCCGGCGTCGGTACTGGCGTCGATGGTGTCGGTGCTGGCGTTGGCTTTGGCGTCGGCGCTGGCGTCGGTGCTGTCGTCGGAGATAGTGTCGGCGCTGGCGTAGGTGCTGGCGTCGGTGCCAGCGTCGGCCATGGTGCCGGTGCCATCGTCGGTATTGGTGTCGCGGCTGCCGATGGTGCTGGTGTCGGTGCTCGTGTCGGGGCTGGCGTCGCGCACCCTGCCCACGCTGCGGCTTCGCTCGTGTCCGAGACACTTACCTTGGCATGGGTCGCAACATTGATGTCGCAGACATGGACCCACATGTTGGCACCAGGGATTGCGACAGTGTCTCCCGCGTTCAATGTGGTCCACAGCTCGGTCTTCTGATTCACATCGGGCTGGAAGTGCACGTGGACGCGGTCAGCCAAGACGAGACGTCGGCGAGTGAAGATGTCGAAGAGATAAATCGGATCAGACTCACTGCCAACCCCGTACAGGCTGGGCCCGTCCTGCACACGGAAGGAGATGTAAAGGAAACCCTCACCTGGTGTAGCTGCCTTATCACCCACGCACTCATCGCACGGGAGCTTCAGGAGCAAGAACTCTGGCCCATCTGGCCCCTCATTGAGGGGAGCCAGATTGACAGTCTTCGTGAGGCCAGTCCCCCGGGTGAACGTCACTGTCTCGGCCCCTGTAAGCCAGCCGAGCCTGTAGCGATGAACCGCATTGCAGTCCGCGGCCCGCCATTCTCGCTGATAACCCATGATCGCATCATCCAGGTATGCATTGAACTCCCCAGTGTGCCAGTAGCCTCCTGCATGGTGCATTCCCCATGTGTGGCCCATCTCGTGAAATACCGTCTGCCACGTCTGGGCCTCGTGGTAGAACTGGGCGAACCCGTTCCACCAGCCGGTGGTCGGAGCATAAGCAGTGGCCATGAACGTATCCCCAGGGGCGAACACCAGCGTGTTCTTGTACGTTCTAGTTCTGATCTGTGCCTGGTATGTCGCCGACCAATACACAGCCATTGTAAGAGAAGACAAGCGGTATCCCCAAGACGCAGGGTCCTGAGGCGATTCCATCTGGATGAAATCGACATACGAGGACTCCAGCCACACCTGGTGCCACGAATTATGGTACAAAGCATGGTTGAGGCCTGGAACGTCCCAGAACATCCCCTTGACTTCTGCGAACGTCTTGTGAGGGACTTGGCCACCGTAGGTCAGGTAGACGACGAGAATCGGGCCGTAAGCCCCCATGGGCGATACCATCGAGCTCGTGACTCCAGACGCGGAATACTCCTGTCCGTCCTGATGGGTGTTCAGGAACTCGTTAAATTGCCATTCTGGACTCGAGCTGTCGGCGTGCAGCATGCCATCCGTATCGATAACCGTCGGCGGCGGGCCCGCTGGCGGGTCGTTCATGTCGCCCACCCACAGCCAGTCTGTGTTCTGTATGGCCGACACTTCCACCACATTGTAAGCGCAAGCAGCTACAACTCGCCTGCCCAACGGGCCAGAGGCGTGCTAAGATCTTCGGTAACAGACTAACCATACTCCTAGTTCGCGCGCGCGTGGCGGCCCCTGGGTATCCCTGGACGAAAAGTGCCCCGGCCGATGCCCAGGCGATGCCCGGCTGACTCCCCCAGGGCGCTCAAGGAGCCCGCCAAGAGAACGCCGGGACGCCCCCTACACGGCCCAAGAGGCCCCGAGTCGCCGAAAGTTCGTTCCAAGACGCTCAAGATGGTCGCCAGATGGCCCCAACGGCCGCGAAAAGGCTCCAAGTTCACAGCGCCCAGAACTGCCCCAGATGCATCCAACATCGTCCCCAGACGGCCCAACACGCCCCCAAGAAGGGGCCAACAGAGCCCAAGAGGGCCCCAAGACCCAACACGGCCCAATAAGGCACCAAGATGGGGTCCAAGAGGCGCCAAGACGGCCCAAGACAGCCTCAAGAGGGGCCCAAGAGGGGGAACACGAACCACAAATTCGAGCTTTTCGCCCCTAGAGGCCCCCAGGAGGCCCCAAGAGGCCCCCAAGAGAGCCCAGGAAGGTCCCCTGGAGGCCCCACCAGGCCCCCAAGAGACCAAGTAGGTCCCAAACGGCCCCCAAACGGCCCCCAAGAGGCCCCGAGAGGCCACGAACGCGCAAGCAAACGCCTGCGATGGCAGAATACGGGCCGGCGGAATGAGCGAAGCGGTTATATAAGAAGTCGATGCTGGAATTTCATCGACGGTTCGGTGCGTGAGTAAACGTGTCAAAGATGAGTAAGTCGGTGAGTGTACGAAGCAAAGGTTTCACGCCTGGAAACGCGCCAAGATGCTCGAGCCAGGGGTTACGGCGCACGAGGCGCCACGAGGCGTCCATCAGGCGCCCACGGGCGGGCTCCTGGAAGAACCTCGGCTGACCCAGCCAGGGCACGAGGCATCTACGAGGCGCCCACGGGCGCTGACCCACCCAGCACGAGGCACTCACGAGGTGCCGACGGGCGCACACTGACAAGGGCACTGTTTGGGGAAGACGAACCCAAATCATCATGCGTTCGCTCCGGACATGGGCAACATAACATACAACAGTCATCAACAAACCGGTCTGGAAACCGGGGGGTACTAAGCAAATGCACGGCACATGCATGACAGATTGGAAGAAGACCCTAAGAAAAATCAAAAGAAACATGCAGGATCCCAGAAACAAAACACTTTCAGGAAACACACGGAACATGAAGGGCTCGCGAGGGACACATTCACAATGATAATGGAAGCCTTCACGGAGCATGAAGAAACCTGGCAAAGAAGATACATAGCAGACATGGCTGTCACAGATGAGAAAGTACAATATGCCAGTATGAATCGGAGGGTTCGAAACACTGGAGCCCTGACATCAGCGAGAGTTAAAGCAGAAACTGGATAAAAACATATGGCGATGTGGGGGAGACGCACAGAAGCCCACGGAAGGTGAGAGAACGTACGCAGGAAACTCAAGCAGAAAACTGCTGGAACATGTGATGCAGCGAACGAGGGGGGTCCTGAGGGGCGCCATGGCGGTGATACGATCTGTCACGCCTTGCGGTGCCGCAAGTGTTTTCGAATCGCGCCGGAAGCGGACGGGTCGAGGACGAATCAACTGCATAAACATAAACGCTCGGAGGCCCGCGCGGATTTCTGAGATCGGCGCTGGACCCCCCCCCCCTGCCGCGCGGGGCGCGCCGAGGGGGCGGCGCCGGAGGCACCGCCAGGGAGGCCCTGGCGCAGATCCAACGAAGCCGCGCGGAGCTCCGAGAAATTATGATTCTGTAACGTTCGGCACTTGCTGGGGGAAGGACCACGAATGACGCTTGGTTTATGTCGGCCGTGTCCCCCTACAGAGGATTTTCGACGAAAAACAAAAAAATACCCTAAAGATACCCCAAACAGATCAAAAAATACTCAAAAAATAATCGCCGGACTATTTTTCGACTATTTTTTTATATTTGCGGGGTATCTTTTATTTTTCGTCGAAAATCCCCCTGTAGGGGGACAGGCCCGACATAATGCTTGGCACGTATCGTCACTCAGGATGCCGGGGCCGGCGGCTTGGGAGGGGGGAGGGGGCGCGCCGACTTCGGCCAAAAAGATCGAGCCCCAGAGAGGGGCGCAGTGCCACGCGCTCCAAGACACCCGACGTCCAGGCTTCTCCATAACGTGGCTGCCGTGACCACCTGCGTCGAGAACCCGGTGCGTCGACAACCCGGTGCGCTGGCGAACTGCACGAGGCAAACCTGGACTCCCGCGATGGCCAACCTGCAGTGGGCGAGCCAACCTTGGCCTGCGCAGTGAAAGCAGAGCGCGCGACCGCCTCCGATAAGTGCAGGGCTGTCCCGTGAGCGAGGCCAACATTCAGGCCCAAAAGTCTGCCCTCAATTGTCGAGGGAAGCTCAGATGCGTCCCCTTGCGAATCACCACGTAAGCATGCACGGCGCTGATGGCTCGAGAGGGGAGGGAGGAGGAGGAGGAGGAGGAGGAGGAGGAGGAGGAGAAGGAGGAGGACGGAAGGAAGGAGGGGGGCGAGAGCTGCCAAGGCCAAGCGCTCGGAAATCCTCCACGAGCGCAGCTCCAGCTGGAGCGAGACAAGCCAAGGATCATCATAGCGGATGGTGGAGAAGCGGCAGCGGCGGCAGCGGCAGGGAGGAGGGAGATCACCGCCCAATTAAAATCACCGCCCATTACCACCCGCCCGAGCCTTTTCAGCCTGAGCCTTCTTGTGACGGTCTCGGGGAGGCCGCAAGTGTCCCAACACCTGCCGCCGTGATCTTCCCACGACGCGAGGATGTCTGGATTGGTCCCGCTGCCGCCTCTCCGAGCGCCGCCGACGCCGAAAAAATTGTGCCCCACGCGTGCACGCAAAAGTCACAGCCTCCCGCCCCGGCCGGGAGCCAAAAAACCAACAAGGCCTGGGCCTGTGCTGTGCGCCCACGAAAACGAAGGATATGTCGACCCCTATCCCAGGCTTCGTGGGGCTTTCGAATGGACAAGAAATTTTGGGCCCAACCCTGGGATATACGTTGGGGGGGCGTCCAAGCTCGATAGGGGTACATCCGAATAGCCCCCTTGGAGTGTATCCCAGGGTTCCCCTTCTTTTCTGAGCGGCTTCATTGTTCATCGAAAAGTCATAGGCATGGGGAGAAAAATCGCCGGCGACACAAAGGCCCTATGGGTGGTGGCGAGCACGGTCCGAAGTTTTTGCCTAGCGTATCGCGGTAGCGGCCCCGGCGACACGCTACGCTCTGCGAGCGGACAGCGTGTCGCTCCGCATCGCGGGGCGGGAGGCCGAGGCAAGCTCGAGGCGTTGATGCTTGGGGACCATGACGTGGATAGCGCGTCGCGCCGAAGCTTGGAGGGCCCGAACCGGCGGCGCGACACGCAAACCAACAGCTCCCGACGGTACGTTCCTTCTCCCGGCCACCCCCTGGCGGCGCCCCACCAGCACCAGCATCAGCTTCGTCAGCAGCGCGGAGCCCAAGCGTGGGTTGCTGCTGGCGGCGTCCCGCAGAATCCGGCCCCCGAGGCACGGGACCGCAGTGGTCTCGCGGTGGCCGATGTTCACCACGATGCCGTCGTCGACGATGCCGTGGGCCAGCAGGGCGAGCAAGGGCTGGGGCAGGAATACGCAGGTGACGCCCTCGGGGAGCTGCGGCTGCACGAAGTCCCGACGCCAGGCCTCCGCCGCGGAGTCGGAGGGGAGGTCGAAGGGCTCGCTCACGAACACGGTCCCGTCGGCCGCGCTCGCCTCCAAGGACCGGTTGAACACCTCCTGGATCTGCGCCTCGCGGGGCGCGTCGGCCCTTCGCGACGGCGAGGAGCAGAGCCGCAGCGAGGCGGGGGCGCCGTCCGAGTCGCCCCTGGTGGGGGAATCCCGGAAGGTACCGATACCGCTACTCCCCTGAACCCTACCAGAACTTCGAGGCGAATCCAGCCGTGGCGACGAAGGCCCCCCTGGAGGCCCCCAAGAAAGCCAAATCGGGGGAGGGGTAGCGGTGTCCGTACTCTCTCCTCCCCTGACCTGGGCTGCGCGCTCCCGAACTTCGTGTACCCGAAGCCGAAGTCGATCACCAGGCCGCGGCGCGCCAGCGCCAGCGCGGCGCACAGCCTCGGCCACGTCGCGCCGGGGCTGGTGGCCGCGCTGCCCGGGCGGGCGCCCTCTGCCTCCGCCCCGGCGCCTCCGGCCCCCCGCAGGCCCCCCGTGCCGGCCTGCCCGCGCAACGAGTCCAGCAGGCGCCCCGTGTTGAGCATGTCCACCAGCCGCTCCTGGAGAGACCAACAATAGTGCCGCTGCCGGCACCTATAGGCCACCTGGCTTCCGCGCAGCGCGCCCCGCGAGTATGCGGCGCGCGAGCAGCTGCGCGCCGCTCGCGCCCGGGCACCACCTCCCCGGAGAGGGGCAGCCGCCCTGGCCAAGGCCGCGACGCGTGAGGCGCGATGATCGTCGCGGCCCTGGGGTGGCGTTGCTCCCCGGGCCTCTCCTTAAGGGCGAGTTCCGACCGGAACTCCGAGGCGAATGGAGCCGCGGCGACGAGGGCCTCCCCGAAAGCCTGGAGAGGCGAAGACGAGGGAAGGGGAGCAGCGGCCGGGGGGTCGGTTAGGGGGCCACAGGCGAACCCTACCCCTACCCCCCACGGCTTCTAAGGGGGAGGGTGGGGTTCACGTCGCTCGGAAGCTCCCGAGCGAAGTGAACCCCACCCATACCCCTCAGAAATTGTGTGGGGGGCAGGGGTAGGGTTCGCATGTGGCCCCCGATCGGTGCCTTTTCCTCCTCCGAGCTCCCCGCCGAGGCCGAGCCGGCGGAGCTGCGCCAGCGCCAGCTCCCGCCACAGGAACTCGCTGGCCGCCGCCGCCCCGCGGCCCTCTCCTGGCGGTGGCCGTGGCTTGCGTCGGCGGTCTTCGGGCGGTCTTCGGCGCGGTCTTCGGTGCGGTCTTCGGCGGTCTTCGGCGACTTCCCGCGGACTTCGGCGGTCTTCGGCTTGAAAGCTGGACGCTTGCGGCCAACAAAAAGGGTTCATGATCGAACACCCAACATGACCAAGACTGGACGCGGAAACGTCGGTGCCGATCTTGGTCACCATGCATCCTGGTCACCAGCGATTTTTGTGGATCATCCTCGAGGATCGGCGACGGCCAGCATGGACCATGACCAGGATCGGCGTCGACAAGATCCCGCGACATCCTGGTCACGGTCAACGATCCGTGGCAACTCACGGGGGCCTCCCGTGCCATCTTGCTGGCTCTAGCGAACCGACGTTAAATCGACACCGACCGACACGCATCGACTCCAATCGAAGCGAAACCCGTGCTCCCTCACCGATGTTTCCATGCGCCGATCGACCCCGGTGGACTCTAAAAACGGAGTGACGACCCAGACCCCCGACGTCATGATTTTATCATGACGCGACCCCCAGAGGTCTGACCGGCTTTTCACTCTGAGTCGTTTCTTGACGGCCCCGAGGCCCAGTAAGGGCCCCCAGAGGGCGAAAATATGGAAAAACCTCCCGTCGCGATTTTTTCCCACGACGCGAAGGGGTCTGGGGAGGGTGTGCAAGGCTCTGGCGATCTGCTGCCGGATCGGCGCTTCTCTGCCCTCGGTCGCCGGAGCCCTGCCGCGCGCCGAGCGGCGGCAGCAGCACCCCGGCCAGGCGGGGGCAGGCGCAGGCCAGGCGGCACGCCTGGGCGGGGTCGAGGGCGAGGGCGGCGTGCAGCAGCAGCTCGGGGGAGAGCGCGTCCTGCGCAGGGGGGGCGCCCAGCGCATGCACCCAGGTCGGGCCTCTCCCCCTGTCAGGGGGATTTGGGGCGAAAAATACAACAACAACAACAACAACAACAACAACAACAACAACAACAACAACAACAACAACAACAACAACAACAACAACAACAACAACAACAACAACACCCAAAAAGTACTCCAACATGGTCGAAAAATAATCCAAAAAGAGTCCCCAGCCTATTATTTGACCATTTTTGAATATTCCCCCTGTAGACAGGCCCAGCTTAAGCATACACACAGCAGGTGAAGTGGGGACAAGGCACCGGCCCGGCCACGGGTGCCCCACGAGGAACTCCCAGGCCGCGATGGGGCCGCAGAGCTCCGGGGCACCTGTCCACGCTCCGAGTCGGCGAAGGGCGCACACCTTGTATTAGGGGGCAAACAAACCGACCTCGCTCTTGGCCACCCTCGCTTCCAAGAGATACCAAGCGATGCCAAACTACGGCATGTACTTGTCAGGCCGCTTGACCAGGAGGCGTATGGTACGACTTGGTTCTGCCTGGAAGCGACAGCGGGGTAGGTAATTCACGCTCTGATGTATGTCTCGTGGCACGGTCTCTCGTCGCCCGTGCCCGCTGTGCACCCGCACCGAGGCCGCCCAGGCAAGCGCAGGGGCCAGGATCGGCAGAGACGCTGTCGTGCCTTCCAGCCAGGGAGGCGTGCACACGGTCTCGGGCCTCCGACGCCGTGTCGCTTCGACGAACGTGGGCCCCATGAGATCTCGACCTCATCCCAAAACGCTGTCTTTCGCCGCGGGGCGTTTTTGTTGCCGGCGGAGGGGCCAAGAAAACACCGTGCATGGGTGGCGCCGTGCTCCACCCATCGGCAGGGGTGAGCTTGGCCTTGCGATCTATAGCGTCGGGGAATCTACGACGTCGCGAAACAACATGACCAGATCTCCAGGCCCCATCTTCCTGCTTGGCTCCCGAGCAGGACCGATTTGTGAGAGAGCCCCGGGGCCCAGAACGGGACGAAAATGCTGATCGCGATTTCGTCTTCGACCACTGGGTCTCATCTAAGGCAAGGAAGGAGGAAGAGGGGAAGGAGGAGGAGGAGGAGGAGGAGGAGGAAGAGGAGAAGGAGGAGGAGGAGGAGGAGGAGAAGGAGGAGGAGGCATTCAGGCCATGACTCGGCTCTCAGGCGGCCGTTCGGGACGAGTTTGGCCTCCCTGCAAGGCTGTCGACCAGAAACACCCAATGAGGCCACAGAACGCGTGATGGGGTATGCCGTAATGGTGGTGGTAGGAGCGCATGCGAACTGTGCCATTGAAGCATTAGATGGAGCTCTCCATGAAGCCACGAAATGCTTCCTACGCGGCCACGGAGCGCTGCAACAGCAAAGGGTATTCGACCCCCCTCAAAAAATGTTGGGAACTTTTTTTGGCGCGGGATTATTGACGCACCCCCAACGATACTTGGAAATCCAATAACTCGGGCCCGAGAGGCCCCCAAGAGGGCCCCAAGACGGCCCAAGAGGGCTCCACGACGGGCCAAGAGGCCTCCAAGACGGCCCAAGAGGGCCCCCAAGAATGCCCCAGGAGAGGTCCTCGGGGGGAACACGAAACAACATTTCGAGCCCTCGGCCCTAAGAAGCCCCCAGGAGTCCCCAAGAGGCCCCTAAGAGACCCCAAGAGGCCCCCAACAGGCCCTCAGGAGGCCCTCAAGAGGCCCCGGAACAAATGCCCTCCCCGAGCACGCAAGCAAGTGCCAACGACCCGACGCGTTTAAGGGTCCTCAAAAGGCCACCAAAGGCCTCCCGAAAGAGTCTCCATAGGCAAAACGCTTCCAGACGATCCGCGACGCGTTCAAGACTCCCCCAGCGACCACCGAGAAGCCTCACATGCCGAACGCAAACCCTGATTAAAAAAACAGCAGCCGCCCCTGCAGCTCCGCACCGCGAAAGACCACTCGGTCAGTCGACAACAGCGCGCAATTGAGGGCCAGCGGAATGAGCGAAGCGATTCAATGATAATTCCCCCGCGGCGGCCACCGCTAATGATGGGGGGATGAGGATTCCTGATGGTGATGATGTTCATGGTGGTGATGACGATGATGATGATGACGATGATGATGATGTTGATGATGTTGATGATGATGGTGATGATGATGATACTGCTGCTGCTGATCATGATGCTAATGATGTTGATGATGCTGAGGATGGTGGTGATGATGATGATGATGCTGACGATGACGATGACGATGTTGATGATGATGATGATGATGATGATGATGATGGTGATGATGTTGCTGATGCTGCTGATGATGATTGTTATGATGAAGATTATGATGATGATGATGATGATGATGATGATGATGATGATGATGATGATGATGATGATGATGATGATGATGATGATGATGATGATGATGATGATGATGATAAGCGACGAGGAGGGGAAGCACGAATTGAACGGTCAGCCGAAAGCTGAGGGGGGAGGCCGGGCAGCATGAAAGACCCTCTGAGGTTACCGTGTGGGAGGGGCGCATGTGGACCCTCCCGGTGTGCCCTTCGGCGGAGCTCCCCTATTATGGGGGCGCGAAACGTGTGAGGGGTGCGTCGGACGGGAAGTGAGGCTGACGTGGAGAGCAGAAGCAAGGAGGGGGAGGAGGGGGAGGGGGAGGAGGGAGTCAGGAACGCGGGGCGCTGTCTTTGCAAAACGAGGACCCCACACCACAGGACTGCTGGAAAAACAAATCCAGGGCCCCGAACCTGGCCCAGGATCCTCGAAAACATCCGCAAAGATCCGAGAGCAGCCTCCTGCACGGGCTGCCATCCGAAGACTTCTGCCATCACGTGCTCCATCCTCCGCGGGCCAGGAGCGCCTGAGCTCGACCCCCTTTCCCAGGGGCAGTGCTCTCCTTCCCTGGGGCCACCTTCACGACCCCAGGGGCCAGAGCGGGCAGGCCGAGATCGAGGACGACTACCGGGATCGGAGACAAAAGAAGCCTGGGACGCCACATGTCTGGGATTTTGGTTTTGTTTTTTCCCTACCCAGGCTCTGCCTAGAAGGGTTCTTACTCTCTTAGCTTAAAGGGGCCGGGCAGTGGAACACGCCCCGGGCGGTTCCCCCAGTCCCCTGGGAGCGGTTCCCCCCAGTCCCCTGGGAGCTTTAGCTTTAGCTTTAGCTTTAGCTTTAGCTTTAGCTTTAGCTTTAGCTTTAGCTTTAGCTTTAGCTTTAGCTTTAGCTTAGCTTTAGCTTAGCTTGAGCTTAGCTGGAGCTTAGCTTTAGCTTAGCGTTTCGCTTAGCTGTTCGCTTAGCGTTTAGCTTGGCTTTAGTTTAGCTTTATCTTAGCTTTAGCTTAGCTTTAGCTTAGCTTGAGCTTAGCTGGAGCTTAGCTTTAGCTTAGCTGTAGCTTAGCTGTAGTTCAGCTTTAGCTTAGCTGTAGCTTAGCTTGAGCTTAGCTTTAGCTTAGCTTTAGCTTAGCTGTTGCTCAGCTTTAGCTTAGCTTTAGCTTAGCTTTAGCTTAGCTTTAGCTTAGATTTAGCTTAGCTTTAGCTTAGATTTAGCTTAGCTTTAGCTTAGCTTTAGCTTAACTTTAGCTTAGCTGTGGCTTAGCTGTGGCTTAGCTTTAGCTTAGCTTTAGCTTAGCTTTAGCTTAGCGTTACTGTTACTACTAATGCTGCTTTCCTAGGGGTTCCAACTCCTAGGTAGGGTCGCACTGGGATAATTGTTTTTGTTGGGGGGGGGACGCCACAGGTCTGGGGTGCCCCAGGCCCCCGCCCTGCCAGGGACAACGCGGCCACCTGCGCCTGCCTCCGAGGGCGGGGCACCCCATCGGGGGGCCGTCCCCCGAGACGGGAGGGGCCCCAGCGGGGCTACGATAGGGGGCCGCAGGCGAGCCCTACCCCTGCCCCCCACGAGTTCTGAGGGGGAGGGGTAGGGTTCACTTCGCTCGGGAGCTCCCGAACGGTGTGAACCCCACCCTCCCCCTCAGAAATCGTGGGGGGCAGGGGTAGGGCTCGCCTGTGGCCCCCTATACGAGGCAGACGGGGCTGGGCCGACCCCCTCTGCGGCTGAACCCCCCTTGCACAAGCCTGGAGGGCGTCGGCCTGACGCCTCTGCTCTGCGGCCCCCCCTTTGGGAACCCTCGGGCGAGGGCCGCCCGGAAAAACTCCCCAGGCGACGCGGCGCGCGCACGACCGGCGGCCAGGGGGGGGAGAAGGAAGAGGAGGAGAAGGAGAAGGAGAAGGAGAAGGAGAAGGAGAAGGAGAAGGAGAAGGAGAAGGAGAAGGAGAAGGAGAAGGAGAAGGAGAGATGGAGGGAGGATGAGAGGCAAGAGGAGGAGGAAGGGGAGCTGAAGGAGGAGGAGGAGGAGGGAGGAGGAGGAGGAGGAGGAGAAGAGGGGAGGACGGGGCGACGGCCACCCGGGCAGAGCTTCCCCCGCCCGCCGGGGCGCGCGCATCCTGCAGCGCGAGCCGCAGCGCCCGCCTGGGCACCAGCGGGAGCCGCAGCGCTGGGGCGCCGCCCGCCATCCCGAGCGGCCGCTTCGGGAGGGCCGGGGGTCTGGGGCTCTCGGCAGTGCCAAGGGGGGGGTCGCCGCCTTGCCAGACCCCCTCGCGTCGTGAAAAGAGCAGGGCGGAGCGTCTTGACGGAATCGCCTCTTCCTCCTCCCCCTCCTCTCCTCTCTCTCCTCCCTCCTCCTCCTCCCTCCTCCTCCTCCCCCTCCACCTCCCCCTCCTCCTCGTCCTCCTCCTCCTCCTCCTCCTCCTCCGCCTCCTCCTCCTGCTCCTCCTCCTCCTCCCCTCTTCCTTCTAGATAACTCCCCTCTGTCGCACCCCCAAACGTGCCTGTAGGGCGGGCCAGGCGTTTCGCCTGAGACTCCCTCAGAACGTATGACCCTGAAATTTCAAATTTACAACAACTTCACGGATGGAGGGCGGGCCGTTCGCAAAATTAGCTCTCGCCTTAGCGCCGCGCATGTTCGTCGTTCAAGTTTGCACCAATAACACTGATGATGGGCGGTTCGTTTTCAAAATTTGACTCTCGCCTGAGCGTCCCGCTCCTTCGTTTCAAAATTCTGGAGCAGATTCAAGGATTCGACTGGTCGAAGTCTCAGGAATGGCGTTCTGGCAACATTTCGGACTGTCTGAACGCCACAGTCATGTTGATTCGCGGTGTTGAGACCCCGGGAATGGTTTTCTATACCAGGATTGTCAGGACACTTCAGTCACGTTGACCCGCGACGCTGAATGCACAGAAATTGTGTTTTGGTACGAGTGAGGATTATCAGAAGTCTGTTTTCTCATGGGGCATTTCCCGCCATCGAAATAAATTCTTGTAGGGCCCCTACGAAGAGGGAACTTGGAGGGAGGGCTTCTCGCAGAATCGCTGATGCGTCTTAGGTTTACAGTGGTCCCCGTCTCCTCCTCCTCCTCCTCCTTTTCCTATTCCTCCTCTCCAAGATCGGCGGTGGACAAACCTCCCTTTAGTAAACCTCCGCTTAGTGAAAACGGCCTGGGCCTGGGGCCGAAACCGACGGACCTGGACCCACAAAAATGACGGCCGCGACGCCCTCTCGCGAAGCGAAAACGGCCATTTCCTTAATCGACGTGTCAGGGTAGGAAGTCTATCCACCTCCGACAAGAAATGCTCGACGCCCTCTCGCGAACCGAAAACGGCAAATTCAATAATCGACGTGTCAGGGTAGGAGGTCTATCCTCCTCCTCTCCAAGAAACGCTCGCGCCGTCACAAAACAAAAATCGCGGGCTTCGGCTCGGGCTCGTGGCTTGGGCTCCAGCCCTGGCTCGGCCTCGCGCTTGGGCGGACTCGGGCTCCGGTTCGGGATCGGGCCTGCCCCGCGACCCAAAGACGACGCCCCTCCTCCTCCTCCTCCTCCTCCTCCTCCTCCTCCTCCTCCTCCTCCTCCTCCTCCTCCTCCTCCTCCTCCTCCTCCTCCTCCTACTCTTCCTCCTCATCCTCCTCCTCCTCATCCTCTCTCCTGCTCCTCCTCCTCCTCCTCCTCCTCCTCCTCCTCTGCTCCTCCTCCTCTTCCTCCTGCTCCTCCTCCGATCCTCGCTCCTCCTCCTCCTCCTCCTCCTCCTGCTCCTACTCTTCAATCCTCGACCCCCGAAGATGATGTGATGAGACCCCCCTTGAGGCGGCGACCTCCCCTGGAACTGCCCGGTCGGGGGCAAGGGGCGGCACAGGCCGCGGGCCCGGGGCGCAAGCCGAGCCTGCGGGCGGGGGCGACCACGATGACGACGATGACAGCTACGACGAAGACAGCAACGCCGACGACGACGACGAGCAAGAGCAAAAGCACGAGCACGAGCCGAGCTTGGAGAGGTTGCGGAAATGCAACTTCCGAGCATGGCACTGGCCTGGATAGTCTACCACAGGGTCCACTGGGGGAAGAGCTGGTGAAGATGTCATCTGGACACTACTCCGGATGTTGGTTACCGCCATTTCCGACCTTGCAAGATGATGGAAACTCAGCACCTGGCAGATTTACGTGTGAATATTCAAACCAACTTCATGGCCGATGTTTTCGAGCCAAATCGGGCGCCAGCGGGGATGATCTGGTGGGCGGAGCCGCCAAATAAGTAGTAGATTGAGGGTCCTGATGTGAGAGGGGGGGGGCGGTCCTCGGTACCCCGAGAGAAAGCCAAACAGGCCGAGCTTGTTGATGCCGATTCCGTGAGCTGCAATTGGGTCCCGACGGCCATATGTGGTGGCGCAGGCAGAAGAGCCAGGAAGACGGCGTGCCCCCCTGGGTCGGCCGACGAGCCTACAGCTTCTCGAACGCGACCTTGGCAGGGGCGACTCGACCAGCTGTCTGAGCTCCTGGTGGGGCCAATGAAGTCCCAGGGTTATCAGCTGGATCGCTGTCGCCCTTGCCTTCAGCAGCTGCTTCAGCAATACTCTCAGCAAGGACCGCGCCATCATCAGCACGTCTGCGCTTGGCAGCCAGCCGTGCTTTCTTTTTTTATTGTTTGTTTGGGGGGAGAAGGAGGGGCAAGCGGGAGGGACGATAGCGGACAGCATGAACGTACTCAACTGGCTGTGTGTCCCCGCCGCGTGGCCGATAGTCTGCCAGGGCCTACTTGGGGACAAACTTGAGGAGGAGGAGGAGGAGGAGGAGGTGCTTTGGCTTGTGTTTTCTGCTTGTGGTGCTCCCAGCGCGCCTTGGCCGCCGTGGTCGCCGGGCTGGCGAAGGGCGCCCTGGCCCCCTCCTCTTCTCCTCCTCCTCCTCCTCCTCCTCCTCCTCCTCCTCCTCCTCCTCCTCCCCGCCCCCAGTGTCGAAGACGCTGCCGAAGTCGATGGCAAAGCCGTCCAGCTTGCCGTCCAGAAGGGCAGCAAGGGTCACGGTCGGCTTGGTAATCTCGGGCGTGGGATTGGCTGCGGTGGATGCGACGGAGACGGCGATCTTGCCGTAGATCGCCTGGAGCTCTTCGAGCTTATTATGCGTGACTGCTTCGATGTATTTCCAATGCTCTCCAAGGTCGTGCTGCCTCTTGTGTACTTGTCCGTAGCCTTCTGTAGCCTGGTCTCCTGATGATCCATTGCTCTCCACGCCGAAGTCAATTGGCTCCCAGGCAGTGGCGGAGGCGAGAGAGCCTTGTCCAGCAGCTTGGTGCGAGGATGCACTCCTTCAGGGCCTGCAGGTTGTCAGTCTCCGCAGTGCTTGCACCATCTGTACACTGCAAGGTTACCACAGCCCCATCCTGGACACTTCCAATCGGGCCCTTGGGCTCCTTGACCCAAGGCGCTCGAACCCAATTCCATCCCCTCTGCAGAATCGCCCCGAGAAGCAAACGGGTGTGCACCCCTGTCGGTCAGCGGAGCGCCCCAGCAAGAGCTCACAAAAGATGCCGAAACCCTCATCTGACCAGGCTACGATGTGTGAGCTATCGGAGGCCGTCACTTCCCCGTGCCATATGGGTTGAGGTCCTGAGCCGAGCAGGCTCTGGACTTGAGACAAGACTGCGACGGGAGGAAGGAACGGTAGAGGAGGATAGGGAGGAGGAGGAGGAGGAGGAGGAGGAGGAGGAGGAGGAGGAGGGCCATTCTGGCCCCTGCGCCCAGGTGCCCCCCGCCACCCACGGGAGAGGGGGGCCGGCCCGAGCGCGCTGTCCGCCACGCGGCGGGCGGCGCGCCGTGCGATACGTTCACCGCCAAGTGCTTCACGATCCACGTGGAATGCAGTGCGATATACGGGAGCATCACCTGGATCAGCGTGCTATACATCAAGATCCACGGGAGCATCATCAGGATCGACGTGAAAGACCTCGAGATCGTGGAGAAGCCGCGGCTTGCGAGAGCTGCCCACACTACGTGTAGATAGACTGGCAACCATGCCGAATCCCAGCACGACCAGCAGGGCATCTGCCCGAACAGATGCGGCTCAAAAACGCGCGGGGTACTGCATCCCAAACGGGCTACAACCGCAGCCCGGCGAAATCCTGACCATCGCCACGGCCACCTTCATCATGGCGTCGTCTGCGTGTCGGAACAAGGTACCCGATCTACCAGAGAAGGAGGAGGAGGAGGAGGTGGCGAAGAACGAAGAATTTCGGTGATTCGGCTGGAACCCTGATGCCCTGGCCTTCGTCCCTGATCCGCACGTTTACAACTGCGATCCCACCTACGCCTGTGACCACTGTGGCTACTGAGAGAGTCATGACGAGCTTGACTGCGCCCAGCTCCCTGGCTCGCTCACCCTGCCAGGCCTGGGCGGCGAGATGGACTCCACCTACGGCGGAGGAAGCTGCGACGACGGGGAGCCGCCCGCGGAGCGGCCACGGGCAGAGCTCCGAGAGCCACCGGCAGGGCTGTACCAGCGCCACCCGCTGAGCTGCGGGCGCCACCACTTGAGCCACGAGGGCAACAAGCTGAGCTCCGAGGGCACGAAGGCCACGGGCCGAGCTGCGAGAGCCGCAACCTGAGCCATCACGGCCACAGGCTGAGCCCCGGGAGCCAGGCGCTGCGCTGCGAGTGCCACGAGCAGGGCCAGCAGCAGCGCAGCGAGGGCCCGCCGCGGAGCCACGAGGACCACCACTGGAGCTACGAGGACCACCTTCGGAAGAGGCCGGGGAGACAGAGGAGGCCCTCGAGGCAGAGGAGAACAAGAAAGCAGGAGAAGGAGGAGGCTGAGGAGGAGGAGGAGGAGGAGGGGGTAAAGAAGAAGGACGAGGTGGTGGAAGAGATGGTGGAGGCGGCGGAGGTGGAGGAGGAGGTGCAGGTGCTGGAACCAACACATGGGGCCTGGAGGGCAGGGGAGGCCCGAAAGGCAGAGGAGGCCAAGACGGCTGAGGAAGGAGACCAGGAAGGCCGCCGTGGGAGGAGGCCAAGACGGCAGAGGAGGCCAAGAAGGCCGAGAAGAGAAGGACGGCTCCCGAAGCCAAGAAAGCAGAGGCCGGCGAGGCAAATACTGCACAGGAGACCAAGAATGCAGAGTCCAGGAAGAAAATGGAAGCCAAGAAGGCGAAAGCAAAGATGACAGAGGAGGCGAATGAGGAAAAGAAGCCCAAGAAAGCAGAGGAGTCCTGGAGACCCGTGGAGGCCAGAAAGACAGAGACCAATGAGGCAAACGAGGCCAGGAAGGCACGGGAAGCACAGAAAACCGAGGAATACGCCCACGCCATGTGCGCCCCCATCCTCAAGCAGACCGACGCGGAGATAGACTACATCATCAGCCAATTGGAACACTATGGGGACACACAGGCGCGCTGGGAATGGGCCCAGTACCGGGGTCTGGGGCCCGACGAGGAACACGAAGGCAAGGACGACCTGTACAGGCAGGGCGCCAGGAACCCCCGCAGGAGACGCGGAACGCCGGGCGCCAGCTGGGAGCCTTCGAAGGATGCCAGCGAGGAGGTACCTACCGGAGAAGGAGGAGGAGGAGAAGGAGGAGGCGGAGAAGGAGGCAAAGATGGTACGGGAGCTCGAGGATGAACACTACCTGGACCTCTTGCACCAAGCGGTCGCAAGTGGCGACGCCGTCGCCATGGCCCACTGGCTGCGGCTCGCCCCCCCCCCCCGTACCACTGGGGTGGGGACACAGGGACTGCTACGTCAAGCACGCCCCTGCGATAACGCCGCCCAGGAGTGGAAAAGAACATCGTCGCGCTGCTGGTCCAGGACTTGCGGGCTCGGCGGAAGAGGGAGGAGGAGAAGGCAGCCGAGGACTAGGAGGAGGAGGAGGAGGAGGAGGAGGAGGAGGAGGAGGAGGAGGAGGAGGAGGAGGGGACGGACGAGGCCGCTAGACTGCAGGCCGCACAGGAGGTGTCGTGGCAGCAGGCAGCAAAGGAAGCGGCCCAGAGTAAGACTCAGGAAGAAAGATCAGCGGAGCATGAGGCCGCGAGGCTGCAGGCCGCTAGACTGCAGAAAGTGCAGGAGAAGGTCAAGGCGGCGCGGCAGCAGGCAGCAGCGAATGAGACCGCTCGGCGCAAGAGGGAGAGAGAGAGAGAGAGAGAGAGAAAGAGAGAGCGAGAGAGAGAGAAGGCGAAGGTGGCGACCCGGCGAAGGAAAGAGGAGCAAAAGGAAACGCACGACGAGGCTGCTGGACGACAGGCCGAGCAGGAGGAGGCCGCGCGGCAGCAGGAAAAAGCAGAGGAAGCCACCCAGCGCAATAGGGAGTAGGACAAGGCAGTTCAGGAGAGGGCCGCTAGACTGCAGGCTGAGAAGGAGGAGGCGGCGAGACACAAGGCAGAGGAGGCGGCCCAGCGCAAGAAGGAGGAGCAGAAGTCCGAGAAGAAAGGGCGAAGGAGGCCGAGGAGATGGCAAAGCAGGCGCGCGAGGCCTTCCTCGCCAGGCGCCAGCGCATCGCGAGCTACAGCTGCGAGTGCCACGCGCAAAGTTGGCAATGAGGTATCGAGATACGGTTAGTGATGGTGCTGATGGTTGTGTTGACGGGAGATATGTTGTTGACGATGCCGTTGCTGTAGATACGGATTATGAGGATGCCATCGTGATGATGATGGGAAGGGAGCTTGTGTTCACCATGAGGGTGAATAGCAGTATGTCGGCGGGCTCGGCGCGAAAGGGAGGAGGAGGCGGCCGCCGAGGAGGAGGACGGCGAGGAGGAGGTGGATGAGCCCCACCCGTCTGCGCAGCAAGTTCATCCCCATCAGTCTGCGACCTGCTACAGCACAGCTTGCAAGCGGGGGGCGCGCCTGATGGCTTGGCGGAGCCGAGCGTGCAGGAGCCGCCGAGCTCGTTGTGAGTGCGGTGCTCGTGTGAGTGCGGTGCAACGTTGGAGGCACGAAGGGATTGGAAGGCAGAGTGAACGCAATCAAGAGCTAGACAAAGTGAAGCAAGGACCAGAGGCGATGCAGAAGAACAGATGCGGGAGGAAGGAAGAGAGCGGCTCAGAACCCCAGGATCGTGGCAGATAAGGGAGGGCATCAAGTAAACACTGGGCTGCTATCGGACATGAGCAGTGGTGGATCAGGCAATCTTCTCCGACTGCGTAGCATCCGAAGCGACAGCACTGCACTCCCTGTCGGTATCTTCTGGTGGCATTCCAACTGTTACATATGGGTTGCGTCACCACATTTAAGATGTTTGATGGTATGTTGTGATTGGCTGCGGAATTCAGGAGGCGGAGGAGGAGGACGAGGAGGACGAGGAGGGGGTGGAGGAGGACGAGGAAGAGGTGGAGGACGAGGAGGCCGCCAAGCAGCGGGCAAGAGCAGAGGAGGCGGCCCGGCGCAAGAGGAGAAGAAGAAGAAGAAGAAGGCGCCTCATAAAAAGAAAGAGGCCGAGGCCGGACTACCGCAGGCCGCGCAGGAGGAGGATGAGGGAGAGGAGGAGAAGACGACCGTAGAGAGGAAGAACTGGAGGAGGAAGAGGAGGAGACGCGGCAGCTGGCGTAGACAGAGGGAGCAGCCAGGCGTAAGCAGGAGCAGGAGGAGGAGGAGGAGGAGGACGAGGACGAGGAGGAGGAGGAGGAGGAGCCGAGCGTGCGGAGAGGGAGGCTCCAGGCTCCCGACGGCCGCGCCCCGCGCGGCGCCAGCAGCCCCCGCACCCGCGCTTACCTGCTCACAGGTAGCGCGCCTGGAGGAGGGTGCCGAACATCTCCTCGAACGTGAACTGGATGCTGATCGTGATCAGCGGCGGCTCCACGGAGCCGAAGTGGGTGACGTATGTCAGCATCTCCCTCCCGATGCCGATCCACCCGTCGATGGCGATGGTGGGGACGAAGCACGATCGGCGGCTTCTTCATGGTCCTCGTGGCCCTCAACGCTGCCTTGGCGGCCGTCGGGGTGGCCTCCACTGAGACGTGGGTCTCCTGCCTGAGCGCATGGTACGCGAGGCAGGCGACGGCGATGGCCTCCATGTTCTCGTTGGACTGGTCGGTGAGGCCAAGCTTCGCGAACTCAGTGGCGAGGGGGGGCGCGCCGCACGCCCGACCCACAGCCTGCGCCAGCGGCGCGCAGATCAGATAATGGCGCATCTTGTCGTGGCTGTTGGCACAGCCGAAGATGCACTGGCGCCTGCCGCTCGGGTAGGCGATGCGGAAGGATGTGAGCCATGAGAAGGACAGCGTCCTCATCCACGCTGTCGCCCACGATGGGGGCAATCTTTTCATGGCGGTCTGGATGTCGTGCATGATGGAGGGGTTGTGGATGAAGAGCTCGCCAGCGTGCGGGAGCTCCTTCACGATGCGGTCCTGCAGAAAAGGCCCGATGCCGTCGGATCCGCGGGTGGCCAGAGCCGAGGCGAAGGCGTGCTTCTGCGCGAGGCCAGGCTTCTCGTTGGCAACAGCCGCCCGCGCGGCCTCGACCGCTGGCGCCACGAGCTGGTGGGGGTAGTACACGTGGTCAGAGGTGGCCGACACAATCTGGTGCATCGCCTCCACAAAGGCCTGCGTCCTCCACCACGGCGGTGAGAGATGGAGGGCACCCCGCGCGGCACCCTCGAGGGTCTGCTGGAGGCCGTAGGAGTTCAAGCCTTCGTGCGGCCTCTCACGGATCTCGGTGAACTTCTTGAATGTCGAAGTCGCCGCGCGGACGATCGTCGCTAGCATGCTGAGTTGGAGCGACCTCGGCGCGGGAACTCCCCAGTCCTTCAGGAAGGGCCAGTCCTTCAGCCTGAAGCCGCCGTTCGGGAAGCGCAGGATGCAGGCGTTGATCCAGCTCTCGTGCTTGAAGTGCTCGCGCGGGAGCAAGGCGCACTGGGCCAGGTAGCCGAGGACGGGGAGCGCGCGCCCGTTGCACAGGGAGGCTGCCCCGACGGCAGGCGCATCGCTCGCGCTGTACGCCATGACTCGGGAGCGGTACTTGTTGAAGGCCTTCGCGAAGATGAGCTGGTCCGTGGCACCAGGCCCCAGCAAGAGGCCGAGGTAGGTGAGGCGGTCGCATATGCTGAAGTCCTTGAACTTCGGGACGATGGCGAGCAGCGCATTCTTGAGCTTGGGGATGAGGTCGGCGTTGACCTGGCCTGCCAAGGGGATGATGTGGCACTTCGGTGCCTTCAGCTCAAGACCAGCCAGAATTTCCATGCCGAGCACGACGTCGGCGAGGTAGACGAGGTAGGCAACTGCCCGAAGGACGAGCCCGAGGTCATCAGCGCATGCCCGGCAAAGTCCACGGCCTTGGGCCTCGAGGACGGTCTCGAGGTTGAGCAGGAAGCATGCAGTGCCCAGCGCGTACAGCGTGCCGCTCCAGCCGCATCCCTGGATGATGCCCGACACGATGTAGAAGAGCGGGACGTACTGGCCAGCGCACGGGGCCATCGCGAGGATGTTGTTGCACATGGAGTCGATGAACATGAGGACCGCTTCAGGAGCGCCCATGGCCTTGAGCGCCAGACGGATGAACTGGTGGGCGAAGCTGGGGAAGGCCTGCGCAATGTCCAGCGGCACCAGCACAGGCAGCATGTCTTGGGCATCTGGGTCGGCCGAGGCGATGCGGCTCTCGGCGTCTAGCTCGAGGATGTTGTAGCCGAAGTTACGCCAGTGGATGAACCCGCGCTGTGAGGCTGGGACTACCTCGGCTGCCACCGTTGCCGTCGCAGCATTCATCGTGCTGCTGATTATCTCGAGGGACGTGCTGCGCAATCCCAGGACACGGACTTTGGACGGGACTCGATGGCAGCCGTGATGTTCCGAGTCATCTGGTTCCTCACCTTTAGGCAGGAAGGCTTGGACGGTCGCACTCACTTCGTCGGGGATGATCCCACCGTTGAGCATGTAACACATGACATCCCAGAGAACCTCGGTGCACTTCTCGTGCGCGGCCTGGCGAAGTGGAAGACGAGCGCTTGGCAAACTTCTTGGGTGTCTCGTAGTCTGGCGGCCTGTACTTGGAGAAATCGATGGTGGGCGAGAACTGGTTCAGGTAGACGGCGGCCTTGGTCACGTCGACGGTCTTGCCCTCGAAGACGGGCTGCCAGTGCTCGACAAGCTTCTTGAGTCGCTCGTTGGGGCCCGTCACGGTGCCCTCGCTGGTCTTGACCCCCGTCAGGACCAGTCGCTTGCTGAGCGGGCTCCAGAGCTGGAGCTTCCGTTGCAGGGCTTGGGTTTGCCCACGTGCTTGAGCGAATCGGAGGCGCCCACGTTGAACTGCTTGGTCGATGACTGCTTGGCGCTGTTCAGCATCTTGGCGGAAGAGGTTGCTTGCCCACTCCTCGAACTTTGCATGGTCGATGAGCTCAACGCTGTCACCGTTGATCTGGACGTGTTATTGCGCGACTTGGCGCGAGCGAAGGAGGCGAGCAACGAGTTGTCGGTCCTGGCGCCACACCGCGCGTGAGATCGACTTCGCTACCTGGAAGAGCACGTCGCCTCTGCTCGGGTGCATTTCATGAAGACGGTCACGAGCTTCTCGTGCGATTTGTCTGAGAAGGTCGGTGGTCTGAATCAGCTTGGTCGGCGGGGACAGGTTGCCCATGGGGGAGGCGGCGAACACCTTGTCGGCAATCTCTTTGAAGGCGGGGGACTTGACGATGCACTGGGCGATCGGCTGGTTCGGGGAGGGTTTGGCACCACGCATCGTGAAGGAGACGAAGAGGGCGGCATGGTCACTAACACGACGGCGTGAGAGATCCTCAGGCGTGGAAAAGGTGGAGGACGTAACAGCCAGCTGTAGCATCTGTGTAGGTGTGAACGAGCAGAAACATCTGTCGATGGTGGTCTCGGCCTTCGTCTCGGAGCAGTAGTGCGTGGTGTCGGCGCTGTCGATCTCCACTAGGTGCTTCAGAGCGTTGTGCCACTTGCGCGCCGATGCTTTGGACGTTTCAGTTGGGTTCGAGTTGCCTTTTGCCACAGGGTCCAGGAGCTTCAGCTCCCCGACGGCGGAGAAGTTGAAATCCCCAGTGACGAACATGACAATGCGGCTCGGGTCGGACCTCGCCCACTGCAGGTCGCTGATGATGCGCGTGGTGATGTTCTGGATGGTGGCGTTGCTGAGGTCGCAGTTGTGGATATTGTAGAAGATCATCACTTGGTCGCCAGCACGGAAGACAGAGCGAAGAACACGGCCAGGAAAGATGGGGTCGCTCACGGCGTTCATCCCAGCTGGGAACACAGTGGCAACCCCGCCACTGATCGTGCCATGATATCCAGGAGCGAAGGAGGAGTGCATGTCAAGGGTGCTGTCGATCTTCCGCATTAAGGCGAGGAGCTGGCCGTGGTTCTGGTGAACCTCCTGGATGCCCAAGACCATCTTGCGCAGCGGCATGGACTTGAGGCACGAGGACTTCTCCACAACACGTCTGCCCTGGTAGCCCAAGAGAGCGCGGGCGTTCCATGTGCCGATGGCCAGGCAGGGCGTCGGCCCATTGGCGAGACGGTTCTGGCTGCGTGCCAGCTCGTCAAAGCCAGAATTGCGGAGCGGCTTCAGGTGCGACGACCACGCTGGCGGCGTTCTTGAGGGTCGTGCGGTCGATGCCCAGCGCAGGGAGGCCGGTGTCCTGGAACGTGAGGACGGTCGGCTCGTCCCTGCCTGGGCGGACGATGTACGCGATGACTGGAGCCCAGCCTGCAGTGATCCAGGCCTTGGCGCGGTCCACGCGCCAGACATGGGTCGGGAACTCGCGTTCCATGGCCTGGCGGAGGCGCTTGCCCACGATCTCCGTCTTGATCTGCTTCGGCGACTTGTCGGGGCCCATCCGCAGCTCGACCGCCCCGTGGCCCGAGACAGCGTCGGCGTAGATGCGCACCCAGGTGCCGTTGGACGAGCGCACGCTGTCCAGAACCTTCTGCACTCGGCGGCTGGCGGGGCCAGGGAGGCCCGTGAACTTGATGGTGAAGAACTTGGCAGTGTCGTTGCCAGTGACAGTGAAGTCAGTCTCGCGGATGTCGCAGCCCACCACGAACTTGGTGAGGGACTCGGTGGCCTTGGCCAGGGTGACGAGGCCGTCGGCGTGGACCTTGATGATAGTGGCGTCGATCTCGCGGTCGAAGTCGCGGCTGATGAACTGCTGTTTGATCGGTTGCTGGTTGGCCGTGGCGAGCTCGCGTTGCAGTACCTTGATCTGCTCCGCCATGAGCTCGATGGCTTTGTCGGTCTTCTCCTGCTTGGCCTCCACTTCGCCGACGCGGATGTTGAAGGCGTCGAGCTGTTGCTGGAAGTGCTTTCTCGTGGCGTCGATCTGCTGGCCGACGGCGAGGTGGACGTTCTTCTCGATCTTGGCGCCCAACCCGTCGATGCCGTCCTGGGCGGCCTTGAGCGCGAGCGAGATGGGGTTGGTCGCGGTGCTGACCACGGTGGTGACAGTCGCGTTGATGGACTCTTTGATTGAGGTCTCCATCGCGTCGATCTTTGACTGGAGGGACTGCACGTAGGCCATGGTGGCGTAGGCATCCAGATCTGCTTCATCCCCTTGTGGCGGCGATCGGGAGCGGTCAGCCCTGCCGCCAGGATCACCACCAGGCTCGCCAGGAGGAGGACGCTTCGAGATCCCTTTGCTGCGCAGTGGAATCGCTGCAGGTGAGCCTCCCTTCTCCGACATGGCGAGGAAGAAACCTGGGACGCTCGCGGCCACAGGAACGGAAAAGGCCTCCGTTTACCCGTGGTGGCGGACGTCGGTGCGGTCGAAGTCTGCCAGGCCACAGGTGGCCTTGTCTGCCGCGGACTAGCGGTGTCCACTTGTCCCCCTGTGGAACACACCATCTTGAGCCAAAATGGCTACGGAAGGAGGAGGAGGAGGAGGAGGAGGAGGAGGAGGAGGAGGGGGAGTAGCCACAAAGGCCATCAGCTGCGCTACTAGGGCTACCGAGCTTCGAGGGCCGCCAGCTGAGCTACGACGGCAACAAGCAGAGCTTCGATGGCCACCAGCTCAGCTACGATGGCCACCAGCAGAGCTACAGGGTCCACCAGCTGAGTGACGAGGGCAACAGGCAGAGCCTCGAGAGCCGCCAGTGGAGCTGCGGGGGCCACCTTCCGAGCCGCGAGGACCACCCGCTCGCCCGCGGGCCCGGGAGCTGAACTTCGAGGGCCGCCGGCTGAGCTGCGCCGGGCCACCGCCTGACCTTCGAGAGCCACGGGCACAGCTGCGGGGGCCGCCATCCGGGCTGCGAAGGCCACCGGCAGAGCCACGAGGGGCACCGAGCAGAGCTTCGCGGGCCAGCTCGGCCACGACGGGCGCCCGTTGGGCCACGGGGGGGCCACCGGCTGAGCTGCGAGGGCGACAGACACTTGAGTAACGCTAAACGACCTATACGACCACCCTGCGGGTGATAAGGAGGCTGGGGGGGGGAGGGGGGCCAGCAATGGGCAACAGTGGTGATGGGTTGCGTTGCCGCTCGCTCTTGGGAGCCTTGGTGTCGAGTTGTCTACGTCATCCTTCGCTCTTGCGATCTAACGTGATCGATCTCTCTATCGATCTCACAAGCGATGTCGCTATCGGTCTCACGATCGATCTCACCATCGATCTCACTATCGATCTCTCCATCGATCTCACAAGCGATGCCGTTATCGGTGTCACGATCGATGGGACCATCGATCCCACTATCGATCTCACTCGATCGATCTCACTATCGATCTCACTCGATCAACTTCACTGTCGATCTCACTCTGGATCTCGGTATCGATCCTACTAACAATCTCCCTATCGATATCACTCGATCTCACAATCAATATCACTATTCATCTCACGATCGATCTCACTATCGATCTCACGATCGATCTCACTATCGGTCTCACTATCGATGTCACGATCGATCTCACAATCGATTTCGTCATCGGTCTCACTATCGTTTTTGCACCTGCGGGACACCGGGACACCGGCGGGACACCGGCGGGACACCGGCGGGACACCGGCGGGACACCGCGGGCCACCGCTTGCCGGAGGGAGAATCATTTGGTCTGGCCGGGGCCCAGACACAAGCGGGACACCGGCGGGGCACCGCGGGCCACCGCTTGCCGGAGAGAGAGTCATTTGGTCAGGCCGCGCCTCAGCCACAGGAGACTTTCCACTCGCCCGCCCACGCAGCTTCGCCTCGCCCGCACGCACGGCACGCACGAACACGAAACCGAAACCGATTTCCCGGTGGGGGGTTCTCCGTTCCACTTCGATCTCACCCCCCAACCTCCGACGACTGGACCGCCGTGGATACATACGTACACAATCCTAGTGGTTTCCACATTGACTTCCTGGAGGCTGCGGCGCCCAAGTGCGTACAATGCGCACAATTGTATGTTGGGTATACTGGGTACTACCTTGCTACGCATCCCGCGCTACGGACTCCCGCGCCTCCCGCCCGCGGCGCGGGTCTGCGGCACGCGGGGCGGCGGCGCGGAGGAGTGGTCGCTGCGTAGCGTTGCGAGAGAGAGGAGGAGGCGGAGGAGGAGGAGGAGGAGGCGGAGGCGGAGGAGGAGGCGGAGGAGGAGAAGGAGGAGGAGGAGGCGGAGGAGGAGGAGGAGGAGGAGGGGCCCCCGCGCGCCCGCCCCCTCCGAGGAAATCCGCGTCGGGGCCGCCGGCGCCGGCAGGCTCCGCGCCAAGGAGCAGCAGGTGCAGCTGGGGGAGCTGCGCGCGCACCTCTCGCTGGCTGCCAGAGGCCTCCTTCTCGTGCTCCTCCTCCCTCCTCCTCCTCCTCATCCTCCTCCTCCTCCTCCTCCTCCTCCTCCTCCTCCTCCTCCTCCTCCTCCACCTCCTCCTCCTCCTCCTCCTCCTCCTCCTCCTCCTCCTCCTCCGTGCACTGTAAGCCCTGTGTGTTGTCATGTTTGTGAGCATCGTCCTGAGTTCGGTGTGTGGCAAGACAGTTGCATACACTGCTCAGCGCTGGCAGGATGGGCAGGATTGCAGCTGCACTTCTCCACCTCCGCATTCATTCGCCTCAGAGGCCCCATCAAGGGCCGTTTTAGCAGCACGCTGCGGTCTGTAAACAGGCGCTGGGTCTAGGCAAGCAGATCATTGAGGGCAAACGAGCGAGCGAGCGTCCATCCGGCCCCGCTGCGCGTACAGCCCCGCCCATCTGGGCGGGACGGGAAGAGCCGTGGCCCTTAAGGAAAAGCGTGAATGATCTCAGACTTCGGTCACGAACTGGTCCTCTACTTGCCGCCATTCTGAAATCTTGCTTGCCGTCTGTGTCCAAGTTATGTCGTTGAGGGGAAGGAGACGAGCGAGCGATCAGGAGCGAACAACGAGCAGAAAAAGGCTTCGAGCTGTTTGGAGCACAGCTGTGCAAGATGGTGTCTGAGGTCGGCGGTGCCCCAGGGCGCGAAGGCTGGGAACACGGTGATGCCCGAGATCGGCGCGGCCCCTCCGAACGTGGGCCCATGAATCCCGAAGGTGATGGAGTTCGGCCGAAATGTCCGCACAGCGTTGATCTACCAGCGATCGCGCACATCATACACCCCGGCTGAGAGTTAAGGAACTCCTCTGCCGAGAAGTGGCCTTCACTCCAATGGTTCTCTGAAGTAGCAGTCCAGGTCCAGGGGATGCGCCAGCTCTCCGACAAACGGAGCTCCAAGCAAACGCCCAGGGCCCGGTCCAGATCCCTGAGGTCCTCAAGCGGAAGCCTGAGCCCATGAACATTGGCGCGTTCTCTCAGGATGCGCGACGGGTGTGCCGCCGTCCTCCGAGGGCACCCGCGGCACAGCACTTGGGCCGAGCGTCTGCGCCCGGGTCACGGGCACTCGGATGCGCAGCTGCTGTATCCAAGCACGTGCGACTCCATGTTGTGAAGGGGCCCCAGGACACACAAACAAATACACACAAATAAAAATATGCCCCCTATTTTCCCGTAGTTTCTGAGTTTTTGTCTTCCCCCCCCTCCCCATAGTTTCCCATATTTTCTGGGGGATCGACGATTAATTGTGTCTGTGTGTTTCTTTCCCTCCTGACATGTGTGTGTCCAGCTCTCGCACAGGGGCGCACGCATGCGTAACCAGCCCCCTGGCGCGCATCACGAAACGCCCTTTCTGGCGCAGTGTGCTGGAGAGCGGGGCGACAAGAAGGGGCGAGAGGGACGCGGACAGCCGATGACCCGAGCACCGCGTGCAATGCCCCCTCAGGGTCACGGCAACTGTGAGCAGCCTGCGGCCAGCCGAAAACCATCCATTCCGGGACGCTTCACGCCGCAGATCCCCGCGCCCATGCATACGCATCACGAAGCGCCCCATGCATACGCATCACGAAGCATCATGGGCGCGGGGATCTGGATGCATGATGCGTATGCATACGCTTACGTATCCATGCATGGACGCCATGCATGGAATCGGGCCGCAGATCCCCGCGCCCATGCATACGCAGCACGAAGCGTATGCGCGACCACCAGACATCACGTCAAGGGGGATGGCGTGCCCCTCGCCCCGTCTGGTGCCCCGGCCCACGGAAATTCGAGAGAGCTCCAAGCCCTCGCCGATGGAGGAGGACGGGGAGGAGGGAGGGAGGAGAAGGCAGCAGGAGAAGGAGAAGGGAGGAGTATGAGACTCATCTCTTTCCTGCCCTATCTCCTCCAGCTCATCCTCCTCGGCCTCATATATCCTTATCCTCCCCATCATGATGTTCGTCGTCGTCGTCCTCCTCCTCCTTCCCCTCCTCCTCTTCCTCCTCCTCCTCCTCCTCCTCCTCCTCCTCCTCCTCCTCCTCCCCCTGGTCCTCCTCCCCCTGGTCCTCCTCCCCCTGGTCCTCCTCCCCCTGGTCCTCCCCATCATGGTTACTCCTGGCAAGAGCCCCCGTTCACTCCTTTCATTGCCAATTTTCCTTGACATTCCTCGTTCCCCAGGGTTCTCCCTGGGCAATGCACCTCCTCCTCCCCCTCCTCCCCTCCCCCTCCTCCTCCTCCTCCTCCTCCTCCTCCTCCTCCTCCTCCTCCTCCTCCTTCTACTGGTCCTCCCCATCATGGTTACTCCTCGCAGGAGACCCCTTTCCCTCCCGTCATTACTAATTCCCAACCATCCTGTGGTGTCGTGTCCTCATTTTGAAGAGACGGTCCACGCGTTCCTTCCTTCCTTCCTTCCTTCCTTCCTTCCTTCCTTCTACCCCTCCTCTCTCATCCCATCCCTTGCCTCTGCACTCCGCATGTCTTCGTCGTCGTCTCCCCCACCCAGCGCACCGATTCGTGGCCATATAGGGAGCTCCACCTCAGGACCCAGCGGCGGTGTCCACATGCGTCTCCCCCACCGAGCACAGCGCTTCGTAGCCCCATAGGGCGCTCCACTGAATGCCCCAGTGGCGGTGTGCACATGCGTCTCCCCCACCCAGCACATTGTTTCGTGGCCCCGTAGGGAGCTCCACCTAATGCCCCAGTGGCGGTGACCACATGCGTCTCCCCAAACCCAGCACGGCGCTCCACCGACCCGTACGGAAGTCCACCTAAGGCCCCAGTGGCGGTGTCTACGTGC